TGTCTGTAATGAACTTGAAGAGTGAATTTAACCTCATCTATCTTACCATTTGTGAGATCAAGAACATTTTCATATTTAATAGAAAACTTAATATATCTGTTCATGTTAAAATGGCAAATGCTCTTTAATTATAATCTTATATCATGAATTCATGTCAAAAATGAAGTCAATGAGCCTTGTTATTTGAGCATGATTATAATATGGATGCAAATTCAAACACTGAAACAAAAGCTTCCAATATAAGAGTAGCTAACTTATTTCCATATAGGTAAACTGAAACATTGAGTGGAGAGATTTAAAGATATATTTTGTTAACATTGTCATTAAATGAAAAACTGGATTTTATTTTTAAAAAATCGTAATATAGGATCTTTTAAGATATCTTGATGAAGTCAAGTGCATGGTCTAAAATTATTAAGTATAGGACATGTTCTGTATATATGGGATGAGTGGCAACACAAGACTGCAGTAAATTATTAATGAAAAATTATTTTAATATGTATCCTGTATAAAACAGTTATCATCGCCATAACTGTTAGAGTTACTTCCCCTTTACCGCCTGTGTTGGGATTTGAGAAGCTATCCTATTCAATCTTAGTAAAATAGATTGCTGCATACGATGGAATCATACGTAATTAAGATTTACAGGAGGCTTATTCTTTTTTAATCTACTCTGCCTATTAATGACTGTAGAATGTCAGTCTGTGAAGTTGTAAAAAATACAGATCTGCCAGGGTTATATATCAAGTGATTATTTCCCACCCCCTATATATGTGCAGAAAAAAAAATTACTAAGATTTTCTTTAAAAAAAAAAAAAAAAAAAAATAATTTCATTCATATGTAATAAGTCCTGAAAGGTTCATTAAAATTACTTGATTTTTTTTTTTTTTACAAGAATTTCCAAATCAATGTGTTTTTTTTAACTAAAATTTTGAATGTGCTAGAAAGGATTAAAAAATTTAATAAAATAATAAAAAATACTTTGGTCTTTCCTCTTACTTAATAATAAAACATTTTGATGATAAAACTTTGCTTTTTCATCATGCTATGTATGCTGTTTTTTTGTTTTTTTTTGTTTGTTTCTTTTTTTGTTTGTTTTTTTTTTTTTTTTTTTTTTTTTTTCAGTGAAAAAGTGGAGGTACATATAAATACACACACATAGCAATGCTATGAGATACAAGCTGGAGTTTGGCTGATTTTTTTTTTTTTTGAGATTGAACAAGTTTCAGTTAAGCATCCACTAGTTGGCTCAGTGAGCACCAAACTTTGAGGGTATTTCCACTCACACTACATGTGTTCACTTCTCTCTGGAAGGATCTCTGTTGTGTTGTTTTGTGTCTTTTTGCTGCTATTTTGCAAAATTCCTTTACTGATACCATGGGTCTGAAGAAAATAAGTGTAAAAAACACTGCTGAAAAGCAGAAATGTATGATTTCGGTTGAGGTAAAGCAAGAAATTTTATAAAAAAAATAAAACATGAGAAAGGCATACAAGTAATGGATTTGATGAAACAGTATAAGTATTCTACATCACCAATAATTACAAAATTAAAAAAAAAGTTATTTACAATAATGGATAAAATGTAAATGTTTTAAAGAATTCAAAAATTAAGTGATAAAGTTAATCTTTGGTATTGTAGATTAGGCTAGCTGTTGTTCTCCCTCTCTCTCTCCTCTCTGCCAGTTGGCCCATGACTCATCTGGACTTCATGGTTTAGTACAGTTTATTTCTTTACAATTTTTGTTTTTTCTCTTTTATTTTATCATTTGTAAACTTGTTTATTCACACAATTTTGCTTGTAAGAAACCCACAAATATAAAAATAGTGGTGAGTTTTAGAAAAATAAAGGTGTTTTTTTTTTTTTTTTTTTTTTTTTTTTTTTTTTTGTTATGGAGGACCTGGAATGGATCGGAAATATTCCCATTAATTTCAGTGGGGAAAATTGTTTTGAGATATAAGTCTTTTGAGTTACGAGCTCAGTCTTGGAACAGATTAAACTCATATCTCAAGGCATGTCTGTATATATATATATATGTGTGTGTGTGTGGACACTGAGTGGCAACAGTCTGTTTCATGGTTGAATGCAATCTTCAGGCCATGTGTGTTGGCTTCATTATATCAGCTGGTTAGAGGTGCATCATGTGTTGCAAGGTCTATTGTATTATCTTGACAGTTATAGGTTATGTTTCAAATTATTCTAGAGGCTACTTATAGTGATGTTTGTTAAATATGTTGTGACACTGAGCTGTCTGCCTGTGGTCAACTCCCATTCGTGGAACAAAGCTGTAATGTTGCTTCCACTGGTCTTTTGGGGTTGACTCTTAGTCGCTGCCACCAGCCTGTGTCCCGGTCGATCGGTGGTCGTACCCGGTTCAATACCAGCTTCGTCATTCCCAGCTCACTTCCAACGTCTGGTTACCAAAGTAACTGCTTCGATCTCAAGTCTAACCTACCCACGTTGTGATTTTGATCTTAGGTAGATGAGGTTCAGACTGAAGGTGATATCGCACAAGCATAATGAAAAAAGAAGCTAATAAACCCCCAAAAAAAAAAAAAAAAACCAAGAGGTTCAGGTATGTTAAGAAATAACAAATTAACTTTATCCATCTGTTATATACAGGAGTGTGTTTTCCTCCAAGCCTGTTTTCTACAGATTGTGACACTTCTACGTTTCTTAAGCAAGTTTTGGTATCTTGAGTCAACTGGTTTAGTTCTTAGGTGCTGGCTTGGCTTCGTTTGTTAGTATAACTTGCTATCGGTAGGATAGGCGAGGTTGGAGGTTGTGGAATCTCTTGGTCAGCTTCTGTGAGGCAACACTCTGGTTCCCGCTACCCAAACTAACTGTCGAACGGCCCAAGGACATTCATTTATATGGGTACCAACCAAAAATCGGTATGGGGTTAGACGCGGTCTGGTATTCTCGGTAAATCTCGATTTCTAACAAGAAATTTCTTTGTCAGGCCAGGAAAATTGATTACTTCCCATTTTTGGAAAATTAATCACTTTCCATTTTGGGGGTGGGGGTTCTCCTTCGTCCGTGAGGGGAGGTCGGAGGAGAGCTACCCTCCTAAACTCTTCCTCTCTCACATTGGTATCTCGTACCAATTCCTTCAGTGGGCGTTAATAACTTCTCCATCCTTCTCATCCATTTACCTCCACCTATCACCATTGCTACCACTCAACCAATGGCATCCTGGCTGTGTGGGTGTGGCTAAGCTGGCCTCCTTAAAATTATATTGATTCTCTTTACTCTGTATTGGCAATCATCTCAGGCCAAAATTTTTTATGACCGCCATGTCGTCTACCCAATATTTTAATGTTTTGTTTGCCTTTTTTCCAAATTCTAATGTTTTCCTCGGCAAGGCATTAATCACTTTTATCAATAAATATAGCATACCTTAAAACTATATTTTTACCGTATAATGAATGACTATTATTAGTTATTTGCAAATAGACCGTATGAGTTGTATACGATAGAAAACTAATCAGTTTTTATTTTCATTAAAATACTTTTCACATCAAATAATTATATTTAAATAGACGTTGATGAATTTAATGGAACATTTTACTATTCTCTAAAAGTTGTAGAAAGAAAAAAAAGTATATAAGCATTTGCAGACTTTTATTAAAATTTTTTTTTTTTCTTTTCATTTTATGAAAATCAAGGCTTCACTGGTTTTATATTAAGATTTACACACCAGGAAACATCCTGGATATGATGATAAACTATATCCAACAGCAAGGTCTTTGATCAGGAGGTTTTGAAGAGCATGGAACCACCTGTTAATTGCTGGTGTTCCCAGGTCAACCATGAACCAGGGTGGTAGCACCTGTCACGGTCCCAGCTATGGGCTAATAGTTACCCCCCCCCCAATCTCCCAAAACATTATGAAAGTATAAAAATAGGTTTTAATATAAGCAATACTTTTTGGGAAAAATTAATACCAGCATTACATTTTTGAAAAAAAATATTATCAGCCAGAAAAATCCATGTTGGCATTAAATAACACATTGTGGTTGATATGCCAAAAAATAAAAACCAAACTAAACATACCAGGAACATATTCCATTGGTAAATTTCAGACTGTGTCCATGGCTGGGAAAAAGAACAAAACAAACCAACCATGAAATGAAAGAGGAAAGAAGTATTGTTTGGTTATTTGTGTTGGGAAATAAAATTCTACGATTCATTTAAGCATTAGTGTAATTATAAAAAAAATAAATAATAATATCTACCATTTTCTTTTTTGTCATTTATTTATTATTTCTGCAGTGGAATCTTTACCATAACATTGCAACAATACCAATACTAATTCTGCTGGAAGCGGAATAATTAAATCCTGAATTGTTTAACATTCTACCACAGGGAAAATATATTTAAAATATTGTGTTTCAGTTATTTACAATGTGACATAATGAGTGGATTTGTTACGTTGGTGTTGCTATTATCATTAAATTTTAATTTTATTTAAACTACAAATAAATTATCTTCAAGGAATTTTGAATAGTGAATAGAATTCTTTATTTTGCTCACAATTCTTTTTCTACTAAACCTCATCACTCCAAATAGGACAGCATCATTTGTTAGGGAAAAAGTAATTAAAAAAAAAAAAATTAAGAGCAGAAAAATATTTTAAAGATTTCCTTTTTTATTTATTAAATCTCATCCAGTGTATCTCTTAAGAATTGAAGTTTCAACTATTCTTTGTCTAAAATCTGGTTTAACAATCATTTTCTTTTCTCTTTTTCAAGCAGACTCATTGATCTATACCCTTTTTTTTTCTTTTCTTTTCCATCCTTTTGGGCTCCCATAATTGTTAAGCAATTTGTTGAACTAGTCAAATTTTATCTGAGAATTTTTATGGAGTTACATTGATTCTTCAACGTAGCCTGTTCCTTTGTAGTCTTTTTAAGCTCCCAGTCACATAAACTAACTTCCATGCAACTGATTACCCACCAAAATTCCATGATTATTTGTTAATTTTCTATTTCTTTTAAGTTCCCATCTTTAGCCCAAAAGTTGAGCACCAGTCAAATCAAGTGTCAACAGGAATTGCCGGAAGAGGACACACCAGAGGAAACAACAACTAAAACCTCGCAGCGGATCAATATTGTATCGCCTGAGACAAGTATCAGATATATGAACAGTGAAGGTAAGAGTTATCTCCTCTTGTTTTATTGTTCAAAAACACTTACGTCATGGTTATTTTGAAAGTTAAATGGATTTTTTATAATAGAAATTTAGGAAATGTATGCCCATTAGAATAAAACTATTTTCATAAAAACATTAAGCATGAAAAAAAAAAAAAAAGTGTGTGACATACAAAAAGTTTTCTTTTTGTGATTACTGCAATGTTTTGGTCAATCCAACCATTCATTATACTTGCTACCATTTATTTTACAAGGTAAAACCATGTTGTTTTTATTTATTAGGAAAAAATGGTATACAGCAAATTTGACATATTGTTAGTCCTCAAAGTAATCCCCATCAGCAACCAGAACTTTTTGCCAACATGTCTCCAGCTGCTCAATGCTCAGTTAGTAAAAATCAGGTGTCTTGGATGCAAAGAAGTCTTTGAATGTCTGTCTCATTAGCAAAGGATTTCCCATGTAGGTGGTTGTTCAGGGAATAGAAGAGGTGGCAATCTATTGACACAAGGTCTGGGGAGTAAGGGGGATGGCACATTGTCTCCCAGCAAAGTCACTGTGTGGTATCTCTGACTGTCCATGCCACAAGGTCTGGTATTGTCATGCAGGAACAGTACACCCTTGTGATTAACCAGTGCTGGCTACATCTCCTTCAGTGCCTGTTGCACACATTCCAACTCCTGTAAGTACAGCTTCACAGTGATAATTTGGGCCATTGGCAGTAGATCAGTGCACCACTTGTTGTCTAGTTCACCAGATCCAGAACATGATCTTGCTGGGTGTAAAGGTGGTTTGTGATGACAACCAATGTCTGGTATGCTTGGAGTGTCATACAGGACCCACTTTTCATCAAATGTAGGCATGTTGTGGTGCCGACAATGTAATGTGAAACAGGCTGTGGCTCATAGTTGCTTGTTGGTTTCTGACTGTGTGAGTCACCTACTTGCTCAATTTGTGCACCTTCCCTATGCAATACAAGTGAAATCTGACTGATTCATCAGAAACCTGGAAGCATTTGGCAAGCTCACCACAGATTTGGCTGTTGTCCTCCTCCTATGGTCATCTTCAGGACCCAGAGCCTCATCATCCAGGACCAGGGGCCAGCCTCTGCTAGGTTCATCACAAAGGGACAAATCTCCCGACCTGAACTTTTAGAACTAATGCCTGGTGGTGCATTCACTCACAGCATTATCCCCAAAAGCTTCACATATTTGGTGACTTAATGTGGACAAGCCTGACACTGTCATGTTTCCCAACATTTCAGCTGTCACTATATGATTGTAGTTTCCATGTCTTTTCCTCATTTGTGACAAAATAGTTTCTAAGCCCTCCACCTATACCTTGCTTTGTTTCTGTAAATCATTCATCACTTTTCCTATGTGCATTCGGATTTATGCATTAACATCCATGATAAATAATTCTGGCTTTTGCCCCCCCACCCTCTTTTTTTAAGCTGACAAAAATAGCTTTCATCCTACAGATTTTGGTTAGGGACATCTCAATGTTTTACATATACCAAACTGGTTCTTTGGATAATCTAATTGCTAAGCTGAAGACATTTTGAGAGGTACTATATATATATATATATATATATAATATAATTTTTTTTTTTTTTCTTTTTATCAGCATACAAATTAGCTTATGGTGACAAACTTGTATGGGAATTATACAGAAGAAACTTTAAGGGACAGTATCCACCTCCAACGAGGAAGACCTGCATTGTAAGTTTTTTGTTTTTAAATATTAATTTGATTTATTTCTGTTAAACTTGTATAAAAAAAAATATTTTCACAGGGGTTTATATAATCTTATTACAGCAATAAAAACAGACATATTAAAATATTTCATAACATAAAAGTATAAAGATAATTAACTCTGGCATCAAGAATTGAAATTTTGAAATTTTTATAAAAATATATAAAATAGATGAGTCCATTAACTTTAATTATTAAAGCACTAGGAAAAAAAAAAAAGAAAATAGCATAATAGGTCTGATTCTTAGTACTGGAGTTAAACAAGCAATGTACAGAATATTAAAAAAAAATGTATTTGAGGAGATACAGAGTAATAAAAATGAACAAACACATTTCTGAACATTGTTTAGTACTTTAACTGGTATTTCAGGTTTTTTTTTTTTTTTTAAAGTTCACCCAACTTTCAAGAGCCACTCTTGGTAGAGGTTTAGAGGAATGAAGTCTGTGACATGAATGTAACAGGAGATAAAAGAAAGTGAAAATTAGACCCTCGACTTGAAGAGGTTAAAATTGTTATGTTCAGGGGTGCATCCCTATTCCTGAGGAACTTTGTTACACAAAGTAGCAGTTCCATGAAAGCTATCAGAGTGGAGCTCCTTCCTTACAAATGGGATATAGAGGAAATGTGGATGATTCAACATTGTTGATGTAACATGGCAAGTCTGAACTATAAAGTTTGTACTAGTGGAACTAAAGAGTGGAGTTCATTTGAAAATTTGTCATAGCAATAAGTTTGTAATGCAGCATCTGTATAAAATAAGTCATCCTTTAGAAGACAATGTAAGTTATTTTGAACTCTATAATAGCAAGTCAAAAAGCTAAAAGTCAGAACCTTTTGGAAAAAAAAAAAAAAAAGGTTTTAGCTTTTTTCAATATTCTGAATATGAATTGAGATTTATGATATATACTTATTCTGAAAGGTGACATTTCAGTTAGCCTTTCTATGTTTTTATATTAAAGTGAAAATTGAGGAAAACAACATGTCCTTTTCCACATTTTATTTCTGGATAGAAAAAAACTATATAAACAACAAAAAAGATATGTACCTTTTATGGAGATGGTGCCATAGCTGAAAGTAGTTTGTAAGTAGTTCACAATAAGAATGTTCTGACATTCCCAAATCAAAATACTTGTTAAAAATAATCCAGGACATTGCAGAGTTACCACATGTATCTCATAAGTGTTGTAAGATATTTGAAAACACTTGAATTGCAATGATGTTTGGGTATCTATATATTTCCATCTGTGATTATCAGCTCAAGCATACCAAAAATGATCCTTTTTTTGAAAAGAACAATCACAGGCAATGAAAAATGGTTTGTTTATAACAATATGCAGGGGAAAAAAAAAGTCCTGGGAAGACGAAGCGACTCCCCATCGATCACCCCAAGTTCTAGATTGCATCTAAAGGTGATGCTATATATCTGATGGTATTAGGCCATTATATATTCCAAGCACCTTTCAGATAAGTACTGTTCCTAAATTAGCCAATTAAAGGTAGCAATTGAAAGGGTGTCATTTTCCACCAGGATATTGCCAAATTTCACATCTGTTTGCAGACATGGCAGAAACTGGTACTGCTATAATTGTCACTTGAATCTTTGGATTAATGCTTATTTTGATCATTACAAAATTCTTTTAATGGTAAGAATTGTGATTCTACAGAAGCCTGTAAAAACCACTTAGATTAATTCATTGTTCTGGAAGGATGAAATCATTAAGTTGACTCAAAGATGGCACATATGCAATTGAATAAATGTGTTGTGCTAAACAATTTTTCTCACCAGTCTACCATTTGTTCTTGCATTGAATATTGCTGTCACATCTTGTCTGGTATTTCTATGTATTTAGAGATTCTTGATAAAATCCAAAGAATCTGCAATGTCATGATCTGGCATCTTCTGTGCTTTTTTTCTCTAAATATTTTCATGTTAAGTGTTCTGATGAGCTTTTCTCTTTTTTTATCTCAACTTTGCAAATTTGGATCATTTTACAGTTGAAATTGCTAGATCTAATTTCTCTGATGACAGTTTCTTCTCCTGCACTTCTGGCTTTCCAGTCAACTTTGCATTTAAATGTCAAACGTTGTTTTCTTTATTCCTGATCTCACTCCTTAATATTTTTGTTTTTCTTATTCTTTTATACTTAGTAACTGCTTGCAACTTAGTTGCTTTATTGTCTTGCGTGGTGTGAATGATTAAAAAAAAAAGTAAACAAAAATGCACAAAACTTTTGTTCCAACCCAATATTAAAGTGGACAGAAATTTCGAGGTGGGACGATCTATGTACTACTAATAGAATTGAATAAAGAGTTCCATTTGAAAATTATTGCTATAAAAATAGAAGATAAGGATACAAATATGCATCAGAATTCTATTTTTATTTTTCAGTATGTATTATTTATGCTGAAATTTCATAATGAATCAATTTTTGTTGCCCCAAAACTTTGAAAAAAAAAAAAAAAAAAAAATTGTTTTTCTTTATTTGTAGAGGGCAGGTCAGATATCAACAGGTAATCCTTGTCCCATTTGTAGGGATGAATATTTGGTGTTGCATCATACTGTAAGTAAAAGTTTTACATATTTAGCAAATTATCTATATGCTCATTTGTGTTGTTTTTTTCTTGTATGCCTTAAGCAAAAATAGATTTATTTTTTTCTTATGATTGGGAGACAAAATTAAAAAAAATTTTATCCACTTGCAGAACATTAAACTTTTGGAGCAATTCATCAGTCCATATTCAGAAGAAATTCTTCCTTCAATCAAAACTGGAATTTGCAAAAAACAATACAAGAAACTTTTAGTGGAAGTGGCCATTGCCAGAGATTATGGTGAGATTATATATTTGATACTATTTTGAAAGTTTTCTTGGGCTTAAATATTCATTATTTACATTATTCGGACTATTGTCCTCATCTTTGTCGCCATATCTATTACGTTTTGGCTGTTGTACGCGCCGACCTTCTTCAGGTGGTTGGAATGTTGAACTTAACCCTTTATTTCACTCACTGGGGTAGACTGTTCTTGTCATGTTTAATGGATGTCAGTTATCTCCTGTTAATTTCCCTCTGAAAGTTCTCCACTGCCTTAACCGGGTATTGAGCTCACACTCTTTGGGTCCTGTCACTGGATCTAACCAATGCCTTTATCCACTGTGCCAGTTAAGGCAGTGGAGAACTTTCAGAGGGAAATTAACAGGAGATAACTGATATCCGTGGAACTAGAACAGTCTACCCCGGTGAGCGAAATAAAGGGTTATGAAGAAGGCCAGAGCATACAACAGCCAAAACGTTGTAACAAATATGGCGACAAAGGTCCGAATAATGTACATAATACCTCATCTCAGAAAGATAGACAGATGCTTAAATATTCATTTTGAAAATTCTGATATATTAACCTTTTCTTCATGCAGGTTTCCTTGAAGAAACAGTGCCATTCCGAAAATACACAAGAAGCGATCATGAATAAAGAAATTGAAATTTACAATTTGCGTTTATAATTTATTTGTACACTTAAACAATTTGATAGTCAATATCATGATACAGGAAGCTCAGACTTTGTTTCGAGTCCACACTCGGTGCTGACTTCTCGCGTGGTGGGAAAAGCACGAGTTGTGTCCCTTTCCTCCACAATAGATTCTGGCAATAATTCTAGAGAAACGAGAGAAGAAAAAAAAGTTTTAAATAACAATATCAAAAAGATAAGGAAGCATTAGAATTACACTTAACACGCATTTAAGAGTATAATAGAAGTTACCATTTTGTCCAAGAGACTTTTTCTTCAAAACTTCTATCTCTCCTCGCAAAATCAAAATATGATTCTGAAGATTCTGGTTGACTTTCATAACACTTTCACATTTGGCCTCTGTCACCTAAAAATAAAATAAACCAGTTAAAAAACTGAAGCAGATAAAATGCCCCCACCCCACCAAGAAAAAAACGAAAAAAAAAAACCCTTCATGCCACCCACAAAGTTATTCCCTTGTCATTGCTATTACTCTATCCACTTTTGACTTCCTATAAATATTACATTTACAAGATTATAAAATTTTCTTTAGACATTTTTATGAATAAAAATTCCTCTCATATTTCTTTATAAAAATGTTAAATAATAAATATTTCATTATAGTTGGTTCATTTATATAATCTTGTAAATAAATAGCATTAAATATCTTTGTTGTCAATTCTCAAGAATAAAGAGAATGTATAAATCCACTTTTAATGTTTAACTTTTATTAAAATTCTAATAATGGCTTTTTAAAACAAACATTGCCAAGGGAGTCAAAAGTGAATGCTGTAATAACAGCATCAAGGGAATAACCATGTTTTTGCAGGCATGAGGGTTAAACATTGTCCATATTTTGCGCTGTTTAGGTCTTGAATATACCAGTCTTGCTCTTCAGAAATTTTTAATGCCAAGTCTAAATTTGAGAAACTGCATGCTTCAAAATTTTAAGTGATGAGAAATATTTGCACATATCAGTTGGGGGAAAATCTCACCTTTTAAAGATTCACCGATTGTTTGACTAGTTCTCAACTAAAACAGACACTAACTTCATGATTATCATTAATAACATAAATCATTTGTCACTAGCAATGAAAAGTGGGTTTTCTACAATCTCATTCTGTGAAGAAGACAATTTCCTATTGTCTGTCAAAGTGTTGAATTATAATGAAAGTCCATTCTGAAGATGATGCAGTAGATTTGTTAAGCAGGACTACAATTGGAAAGATATGTTACTCTTATATGATAATGCATGACATACACAGGAATGAATATGAAAGTTTTCACCTTAATCTGTCACGTTATCCCCCCCCCCTTAAGATCTTTATGGCATTTATTGGCAGGAAAGCAATAAATCAATTATGAAGAGGTTAAACAGGCATGCTTTTCCATTTGCAAAGACAAAAAAATTAAAAATTTGCCTGCTAAGTGAGTTTTATATAAAGCAAAGAAACTAACCTTGATTGAATGTGTAATTAATCATTTATAAATCAATTATATGCCTTGACAAAACTATTGTAAAATCCATTATAAAATTAGTTGGACTTTAAGTAGGATTAAGTTCATTTAGATTATGACACTGTAACAAAAGCAAAGGATGCAAACATTGTTTGTTTGTTTGTTTGTGTGTTTTTTTTGTTTTTTACTGACCTTAATTTGTTCACTGTATTTGCACTTGACTCCATCCAGGCATTTCTTCAGCTCATCAATTTTGACGTCCTGCAACAAAGATATTTCAATGTGACTTATGTCTAAAAGTGCAGTAAAAGCATGTTATGCAGTCCATAAAGACTTATCTGATATTTCTCCAAGGCATTGCTACACTTTATAGTACATGCCTTTTATTTTTACTCGTGTACCCATGCTGTCAAAATTGACAGCAAGAAGGAATGTATAAGTTATTTTTTTTTCTCAGCTATTACCAAAAAACACAAGATAAGCTCTGAATTGTAATGTACAATAATTAATGACAAAATATATATATATAGACTTAAAATGAAACTTAATATCTATTCTTTTTTACCCTACTTTACAAAATATATTGAATTAGTCCAGGCTGGGCCAGTACAAGGGTCTCTGCCCCACACCGAAACTGTTACGGAAAATGATTTTTTTTTTAATTCAATTTAAAAAAAAAAAAAAAAAATTAAAGCAAAAACTATAGCAAGTCTTATTTTATCATAGGTTATTTTGCACACTTCCCCTCAATTGTTACACACACAAAAAACAAAACAAATATAGACAATATCAAAACCTAACAATCTCTTTTCACTGTTTTTATTTCAGAGAATAAATCCTGTAATTTTTATAATTTCCCTTAAGAGCTGTGCAAGAATCCGACCCCAAATGTTCTTGTCTTATTTCAACAAATACAGGCAACTTTATCTTTGGTTCTTCAGAAACATCGCATCACAAGACTTTGGTCAAGTGTGTGTCACTTGCAGATTTTTATTTTGTGGGCATACTTTAGAGGCAGTGATCTGGACCAAGAGCATCAATGAAAAAGAACAAGTGAAGGACGCAATTGTTCCTCAGGTAGTTTCCAGTGTCACTTACATTGAACAATAAGCATTTACAGAAGATCCTGCAACTCAGGGAGTGCCAGACTAAAAATTGAAACCTTTTCTTGTCTCTGTTCTAACATGTCCATCAATTCTGATGGACATGTTAGCAATAGATTTGAAGAGCTCCTAAATCAATATGAGAATTAAAAAAAAAAAAAGAAAATGTTACTTGCCAGATTTCAGCTCTTTGTCCCATTAGTTACAATTTCTTTTCCTCAATATGGCCAGTGTAGCTAGATGACCTGGGACTATGTTAGTGAATAAAATAATGATCAACAAAAATTTCTGGGACTCAATTTGTAAGCTGTATACTATTGCATATTCTGGTTGTCCAAAGTAGCTAAACAAACAACATAGGCTATTAATATTTTGGTGATCTAGAATGTTCCATAGGAACAATCTCAAAGTAACACAAACCTGTTTTCCCATCAGTAATTTTAAGCAAGTTTGTTTTCATTATCTTTAGATACAAATATGCTGCAAAGAGATTCTTTAGTAATACATCATGAAAAGAACTTAGTATACCAATTTGTGAGTGCTATATCATTAGCTACAAAGAGTGGACACTCTTCTCTGGTAAGGTGCCAAAAGCTCAGGATAAAGGTCTTCATCCCAATTGTATGTTGTTCAATACTTTGCTTAGATCACATGCACAGGCTTTTATTGGGTTTCTTTTGCCATGACACAAGTCTTTATTATTTCATCACTTTCAACAAATATAATATTTCATTTTTTTTCTGAATCTAACAATTCAACACTTACTGGTTTCTAAGATGAGTTATCTGTTTGTACATATCTTCACTACAGTAATTTGTGTGCAGGTGTAAGCAACAAGTACTTTTGCCAGTGAGGTTAAAGTGGTTGCTCAATTAAATACTGTATTTGTTAACTCCAAATAATACCAGAGCTTATCAGTTCAGCTTTGGTCTACAATGAGTAAGTTATCACTTATAACTATTCGTTCTGTCCCAGTTGCAGTAAAATAGCTCTAAACTAGGTACCTCCAATAATTCACTAAAAAATCAGTATAGCATAATGATAAAAGGTCTGAAACTTAATAAAAACAAAGTTTCATCATTAAAATGTTTATGTAATTATTAAGAGGAAAGAACAAAGTATTTTTTAACACATTCTAAATTTGAGCTAAAAATCTTTTCTTTTTTTTTTTTTTTGTTAACTTTGTAATACTTGTGGTAATGGTCATTTTACTGTAGCAGTTACAGGGGAAAAACCCATTTGGAAATTCTTGCAAAAATCAAATAATTGTCTGATTATAATGAAACTTTCAGGACTTATTAAAAAATGAATGAATTTAAAAAAATTTTTATTTTTTTATTTTTTTTATAGAAAATCTTGGTAAAGATATACATCTGGATCGGGATTTTCAAAACCAAAAAATAAGTTTGTTTACATTTCTGTAAGAAAAGTTAAAAATGGCCATTTCGATTGGTTTCTCAGAAGCATGAACTAAAAATCATTCAAATTTCTATTTGAAATACTCCACAGTATTTTTTTTCTGGAATTAGAAAATTTAATCCTTTAGCTTTCAATTGAAGTGGTTGGAAAGCTTCAAAAAGGATTTTTCCTTTATGAAAAATACATTTAAACCTTAGGTATACGAATTTTTGGAGGTACCTACTCTAAACACTGTAGGAGATAAGTGTGTAAGGGAATCTGGATAATAAAGACAGTACTAGATTAAAAAACAAAGCTTCCTTTAAAGATAGCTGTCACTTTGGTCTCTATCCATTTTTAACAATATTTCCCCATGTGTAAATGAAATTATACTTACTACAGTGGATTCAATCTGTAGATCAAGATGAACTCCAATCAAAATGTCCTCAAGTGGAATCTTGGTTGAGTGACATCACATGCACAAAGTTCTTAGGATTTTTTTTCAAAACAACAACAATGCTGTATTTAACATTAAATTTCTAACAATAATTTTATTTACAGTATCTAGACATGGGGTTCTAAGTTCATGGAAAAAGTGAGTATCACAGAACTTTGAAACAACCAATATTGCAGTAGCCATATGGATTATGCAGCAAAGGAGTAATGCATTTGTATTAGTCCATTAATAATTTCTCAGCAGTGACTGTATTACAAGTTTTCCTGCAACACATCACAACAGCATTCATTCAAAAATTAATCATGTGACTACAGGAGGTCAGGGTCATACTATTCCACATTTTTCAATGAATTGCTCATAACAAGCACCAAACCCAAATTGACATGAAATCACATTTTTATTGATATCGACTAAATAGCAATAATGATGTATTAAGTAAAATTATTTATAAATTTTGCTAACTATGTACGCACTTTGTTAGAAAACCAGATGCCTATTTGTTGTTAGCCAAAAGTTTCATTTGTAAAATTTTCTGGTCAAGTTTTTTTACATCGGAAAATAAAAACTTTTGAATGGATAATATTTGAGTAAAGATGACTTTTGGTCATTGAATAACTTTTAGTGACAAGGTCGAAATTCTCCAGGTTGTAATAGTTATGTCAAGCCACTTAAGCAAAAGTAGGGGTGAGGTTAGGAGATTGATTTAATAAGCTATTCAGATAAGTTATCAACTGCTTCAAACCTCATGACCCTCAATCTATTCTTGACCAATTACATTCTAATATTTTTAACCCCCCCCCCATAATTTACTCCAATCCTCATTCAGATTTCAATTTTTCATTGTTTGTCTTACATCCTAAAATATTTTAGTATTATTAATTTAAATACCTTTTATCACATTTTTTACTAACTGCCTCAAGTGTCCTTGGGAAGAGCAGTTACATATTTCAATAGGTGGAAGGGTTGTCTGTTACATTTCATCCAAGTTATATATAAAGCAGCAATCAGTAACAGAATTTTTGTCACTAGAAGGCTGCCAATTGATTCAGTAAGGTATTATACAACATTGAAAATTTTTCAGAATTATGCCTGAAAGGAGAATTATTCTTTATCATGACAATGCAATAAAAAGAAAGTAATAAAATGCTTGAAATTCAGTTTCACTTTCTGTGCAGCCAAAATTTGGTACCATCAGTGCTAAAGTTAAAGCTGCTTAGTACAGTTGGATCATAACTAAACCAGAAACTTTCGTTATGGACTAAATGAAAACATGGATTAAAAAAAAAAAAAGTGTAGTACTTTAGTGGTAACTATATTGCAAAATATACTTGTAATTCTGAAGAGAAATAAATTATTGTAGTGTAGGACTCAGTGTACTTCCTACTACTGTAACAATGGACTACTCCTACTTATAAATATGGCAAGTATTAGGGTAGTATTTGAACACATTTATTATAACATTTTCATACATATTCATTTGAAATTCATACTCACGTCCTCAAGGAGATATGGCACAGTGTATAAAGGTGTTGGTTAGAACCAGTGGCAGGACCCAAAGAGTATGAGTTCAATACCCAGTTAAGGCAGTGAAGAACTTGGAGAGGGGAATTAACAGGAGATAACTGACATTCATTGGACATGGCACGTGAAACAGTTTACCCCAGTGAGTGAAATAAAGTTTGACATTCCAACCACCTGAAGAAGGTCGGAGCATACAACAGCCGAAACGTTGTAATAAATATGGCGACAAAAATGAGCACAATAGTCCGAATAATGTAAATAGTGTACATAATGCCTCATCTCAGAAATATAGACAGATACTGAAGGATTTGAGGAGTATTTGATTTATTCAAGTTTTTACCCATTCTATGTATGAGTATTTAATAAACCTCCTCTTTTTTTGTTTATTTACTCAGTCTTCTGTTCCTTCAATACTCTCCCTAACTACAGCCTTCCTAATTCTCAGCTATTTTGAACAAAGACAACATTACAACATAAATTTGATAGAGTTTGACTATTCTGTCTGGTCCAAAGTTTTTTTTTTTGTTTCTTTTTTAAAATCACATTGGTGACCTTATTTATGAATCAAACTCTTAAGTAACCTACATTCCAATATCAGAAAGTAATATTTACTGTGTTATATTTTTCTCAGTTAAGATTTTTTTTCAAACTTATTCTACCCAAGGGAAATTTTAAAATTGGTTACCTGGATTTTTATTATAATAATTAGGTGAATAAAATTGCATATCAGTTAACAAGTAATTTCAATTATGACAGGATACAGAAGGCAACTTCCATTGTTATTTTTTTTAACAGGACTTCTTGGGTCACATAGTTTAAACTCTTTAACACTACACTACTTAATTCGTGAAACTCTTGAACATTGAAAAGTAACAGATAAAGAAAAAGGTTACATTCTTTGATTTCTGTAATAAAAAATAAATCTTTTTAAACATTTTACCTTTGATTTCAGATTTTCATCATGTTCTGAATATCTTGTTTTCCAGTTATCAGCCAACACCTCTTTTTGCTGAAGACATTGTCGAAGATCTGCAAAATGAATCAGTAAGATTAAAATAACAAGATAATGAATGTATTGTGATATGAAATATGGGAATGCTTAGAGGTGATTGACAAAAGGCTTTCCATTAGAAATACCTAAGATAGTTGTCAGTTGTATTATAGAATTTACTTACCAACCTAAAAAAAAAAACCAGCTGAAATAAATTACAATTTATGCATACAGTAAAGAATAAAGTTAAAAAGAATTACAAAAAAATATTTAAAGGCAATAAATTGAATTGTCTGAGATTCAACTCATGACTCAGCAAGTTTTAACAAATTTAAGCTGTTAGGATCACAGGTAAAACAAGGAATACCCACTCCTCAACCCCACTTGTCACTTGATTTTTTCATGGCTTATCAACCATCTGCAGGTTATTTAAAACCAGAAATGAATTTTTAGATTGTAAGATTTGGGGGAGATAATAATGATTTACTGATACAAGTTTTACTGTTCATTACACTATTTGCACATCCAAGCTTACAGCAACTGGTATTCCCAAGCAGTCACCCATCTAGGTACTGATCATATTCAAAATTGTTTAACTTTGGTGGCTGTAAGCCTTTGTTATGAGAAAAATGACAGTTAAACAAAATCAGATGGATCTGCTAGGAAGAATCCTGTCTAAAAACTACTTAATTCTTTGAATTCATAGATCAAACCTAAACTAGAATTGGGTTAACTACTAAACTGCTTCTCCTGACCCTATTACTATGCACATTTACAAATTGATTTTGTGACCCAACACTTGAAAGAAACATTCTCATAGAAGCCAACAAATTTTGGGTTTATAGAAGCAAGAAACAGATAAGGCCTTGAAAATGATGAATGAAGGTAGATTAGGCACATTAGCCCAACACCCAGGGCTGTGTCTTGTGAAGAAGAGAAAGTGGAGTGGGAAGAGAAAGGCCACTGGGTATTTTATTAAAATGAACAGACAGGAAAGATGATTTGCTGAGGAGGGAGGTCTGTTCAGGTCAATAATGACAGCATGGTTGAGCAGACTTCTCTTTATTAAAAGGAGAAAAAACAAAAGTGGGTAACAAAAAGGTGTAATACCTTTCATTTCTGCTTCTAATGCATTCACATAATCCTGCCTTTTTTCTTTCTCTGTGCACTGATTATCAATTCCTTCTAGTTTTTCTTGGTACTGCCGTTGTAGTTCTCCCATCAAAAGAAGCTCTTTTTGCAAAATAAACATCTACCAAAGAAAACAAGAAATGGGATTTCAAATATAAGTTATATATAGAGAGAGAGAGAGAGAGATTCTGGTGCAGAGAGATTTAACATCTAAACCAGTGGTTCTCAACTAGTATCCATAGTAATGTTTTAGTGGTCCATAGAGCAATTTCACTTCGGAATGGTTGTTACAACTGAGAATTGAAATTTCTACAGCAATCTATGCTATGCCATGTTAAAATACTAAAAATAGACAAACAACTCTAAAACTAGCAAAAAATGAGATCAAGCGATGTAAATTAGTGTCCCTTTTACTCTACCAGATGTTTTGAATGTAAAAATTTTTAAAATGGTTTATTATGAGTTATTTTACTAGAGTACATGGGCAAAAAAAAAAAAAAAAAAAAAAAGGTTGAGAACCACGAATTTATGTCATATTTATTTTTTCAACCAAGTTGTTTGAATTTTTCAAATGTGATAGGCTGACTGTTCCATGGAGTGGTTAACATTTTTATTATGGCTTTTGTGAGGGAAAGTTATCAATATGCGATATAATGGGGTACATCCGAATGCCTGTTTTGTGCATTTTAGGTAAGCCATAAAGTTTGGGTATTTTAGAGTGGTATTCTATTAATTTATAAAATGATGTTTTTTCATTATAAACTAATAATAGAATACCACCTTAAAATTCCTGGTTTATATGTTAAATCCCTTTATATAAAAGTTCCTTTTAACAAATGCTTAAATCATTTAAAACTATATGATTTTTAAAATTGGCACCATACAAACAAAACTATATCAATATTCAAATGGATAATTTATTCTAAAAATATTTTAACATAGATATATCTTGTATATTTCAGTAATACTATTAATGTGGTTTGATTTTTTGTTACAGATCCTTACTCTGTTTCTAACATCATAGAAAAAACATTTTCTGAGAGAACCCTTTCTGCCTTCCATCAGCATGGCTGATGCTAACTTTCAAAAGAGTGTGACTCAGTGCGCCTTCTTGGGCTAATTTTATATGCAGACATGAAATGGAAAGATTATATTGAATGAATTGCTAAGTTAGTTCACTGTGTCATGTTAGACAATTTTTCTCACTATAATTTATCTTACACATTTATAAGTCTACCATTCATTCATGCATTAAATATGGCTGCTACATCTGCTCAGGTACTTCTGCCATTTTTTTTAGAAGTTCTTGATAAAATCCAAAGAAAAATCTGCAATGTTATTGGTCCTAACCTGGCATCCCAGCTTCAGTCACTTTCCTACCATCATAAGATAGCTTTCCTGTGCCTTTTCTATAAATATTTTTATGGTAATTGTTCTGATGAACTTTCCTCTGTAGTATATAGACTTTATGAATTTAAGTGCAGTACTAGATTGGCAGCAAGGTTTCACCATTTTACAGTTGAAATGGTGAGATGTAACAGTTTCTTCTCTCACATCACTTGTGGAACTCACTTCTGGCTTCTTGCTTTCCAGTCAACTTTGGTCTGCAGAAATTTAAATGCAATGCCAATTATTATCTTCTGTATTCTTAATTCCTATTCTTTTATTGTTCTCTCATTTTAATGTTTTTCCCACTCACATTTTCTTACACTCAGTAACCCCTTGCATCTTAGTGGCTTTATTGCCTTGCTTGGGCTGAAATGATTAAAAAACAAAAATTAATTGATTAGATAATACCTGTGGACTAAACCCTTGGCTTTACCTGTTCTTTTAACTTTTCCTTGTCGGCAACTTGTTCTTCCATGAGTTCCAATCTCTTTTCTGCTTGAAACAATTTTTGGTTTGCTTCTTGTAGATTCTTAAAAAGAATAAAGTTTAGAAAATAAAAGACAATGAAATAATCTGAATGGGTAAAATTGCAAAAAAATGTCCCAAAATAATCAGTGCAAAATACAATTGTTTTTTTTTCTTCTTCTTTTGAGCAGGAAGCATTTTACCTCTTGTATTTACAAATACATTTAAGTCTTTTGTACCTTACACACTAGTAAGTAAAACTATATCCAGTAATGGTTGCATGCATGTACATACACTTTGAGGTAATACCTGAAGATTTCAAGTCCCAAATTTTTACTTAGAAAAAGGTTACAAGACTATAAACTGCTTGTTAAATATTCTGAAAATAATTAATTTCAACACAAAATAATTGAAATTATGCAGAAGAAAAAAAAAGCCTGTATAACATTTGTTTTAAAACTAATGATATTATAAGACATTTTTAACAAGAACAAGAGCAGCAGCAGTATCATCAACAAAAGATGACAAGGAAGAATCTATTATTGTGAATATTTACTAAAGTTTTTCTGCATAGCCTGGGATTTAAATATTGTGCATTGACTTTTAAATTTAAAAAGGCCCTCTTAATCTTGTGTTCTTCCCATAAAAAAAAAAAATCATTCTGCACACTTTATGGACATTACAAAAAATTCTCAAAACTACCTACGTTCCTGTCTTCTTTTGCCATTTTTTCTTTATCACTGAGTGTGTTGTTCAAAAATTGATTTTTTGCTTTCAATTCTTCACATTCAGCTAAAGCAACCCTAGAAAATAAATATATTTTTTTAACACTTAGAGCAACATATCAATCACAAATCTTCATACATCAATAGAAATTCATTTAATAACAAAAAAAGAAAAATTCTCAATTCATAACATTGTAATCTCTACATTGAACGGATCATTAAATCAAACCTACTTTATTTTCTGATTAGAAGTTGGCAAAAGAAATACATGATTTCCTACCATATAAAGTGCAGTTGAAAAAAGAACAAAAAAAAAACAACTCCCCAAAAATCTCCTTGTGACTTATATCCTGGAATTAGCCTTGTGCACTAGCATCAAACTCTAAACATGTTCAAGACACTAATATACCCTGATGACCAAAAAATTAATTATATGCATCTAAATGATTACATTAGGGATGACTAAGTTTAAAATGAACAGGTTTTGATGTATGTGAGTGAAATTTAACAGCTCCATTGAAAGCAACTTTACTTAAAGTTAACAAAAATTGACTCACAATCAAATAATCCATGAAAGCCACATATGTAGAAATCATTTTTTTTTTTTAAATTTTTATTTTAAACATATATATTCAGGAAATGATAAAGGAAAAATCATTGTAATATAAGAAAATTATTAGGCTAGCATATATTGACAAGCTTATTTTTAAAGAAAGATGGACATTGGAAACATTGATGACTTTTCATAAAGCCACTGGCAAGTTGCTTCTGGTCATTAAAAATATTGAAGTTGAAGTGTTTGTTGTACTTTTTCTAACTTGTAAGAGGTGGGGGTACTGAAAATTTCTCAGCTAACCAAGACACCCTTAAAAAATCTGATATTTGATCAAATTTCAGGAAGTGGGATGGGCTGGGAGATTTTCAGCAAACCCTCAAAGTTTAAAGATTTTTTTCAGTAATAGAAAGAAAATATTAATAATTACCAAAGATATTCAATCTGCTGAATTTAAGAATTATTAAATTTTTAAAAAATGTTTTTTTTAGGAAACAAAGCTTGCTTGTCTTTCTTGCCAAAACGTTTTTAAAGATTTTTGTAGTGTTGAAAAAATATAAATTTAATACAATGTCATAAAAAGATAATTGTAGTTATTCAGTTGTCTGAATAGAACAACTTAATTTTTGTATCTTACAAAAGAAAATTTAAGACACTATTTTTACATTGTTACATGAGTGACAAGAAATAGTGAATAAAAAGTAATTTAATAAAATAAATGGTGTTAATAGTTAAATAAATGTTTTGTTTATTTTAAATAATTAACTTTTAAACATTTCTAGAAGTTGATGGAAACCCTATCATTTCAAGAAATATAAAAAATTGTTATGAAAAAAATAAAAATATGATTTTATTTATTTTTAAAAATATTTGAATATTAACTATTTTAGTCACCTATTTAATAGTTCAGATTTATTTCAATTGTTTTAGAGTACTGAGTAAAATAACTGTCGAAATTTGTTAACTACTGCTGACATCTGATAGCCATATTAAGGAGATAAACTGTTCAATCATTATTTTCAATTTCTTCAACAATCTGAGTAAATTGTCAACTCATGAAGTCCGTTTTCATTTTAACACATTTCGTCTACCACAGAAAATTAAAAATTTAAGCTATTAAAAGTCATTCTTTTTAGAAGCCGCCTTGAGATTCTGTGTCTTAATATTTAAAATCTTACTGGATAAATACTGTTATGCAAGATAACTGTTGAATTCAAGTGTGGCTAAAACTGTAAATTTCTAACTAAGGTTAAAAAAAAAAAAAAAAAAAAAATCAAGTATTTAAGGAATTTTACACCCAAATGATGAAGAATCAAGTAACATTTCTTTTAAGAAAATTCATTATAAGAAATGACAAAGAATAATGTAATTTAAAAACAAGCTATTGTCTTAATAGATTTGTATAAACAAACATTCATAGTAGAAAGGAATGGAAATCAACTCACTTGAGTTGGGCAACTGCTGAATGTTGCTTCTTATCTTCAGCCTGTTTTAGTTGACAGTTGGTTTTCTGCAGTCTTTTAACTGTTTCCTGCAGGTTACAAGTTTCTCTTTCCTGAAGACGTAACTGATCAAGCTGAAATGTGTTCATATATGTATTTATAAACCAACAACCTCAATCAAAAATATTAAACTCTAGTATTGAAAAGTCATTTTATATGGTTTTGATATTAAATTTACGACATTGTTCTTGTTTACCAATAATCAAAGATGACAACATTAATAAAATTGATCTGGTAATAAAGAAATTATTTGGATAGAATCCCTTTTATTTTTTTAAAACATTTTTCAATGTAAAAAATTTCATTTTAAGCCATAGTAATTTTTTTTATTTCAGCTATCAACATTTCCTATTACAAAATCAATTACAATGAAAGAGATAAGTTTAAAAATCTTACCACAGCCGTGTTCTGTTCTTTGAGAGCCATAATGTGGGACGCGTTTATCTGTTTACGACAAGCCAGTTTGGCAAAGCCTTCACGCTGAAATCGTTCATATGTCAGTTGGTTCTGCATTAGAAGGATCTGGTTTCGCAGAATGTTTACTTCATCTGCAGGAGCGGATCCTATAAGACAACAATTACCATTTATTCACAATCCATTTTATTTTTTTTTCAAAACAACTAGTGAATTGGTCAACCACATTAGTTGTTTATTAGGAAACAAAATAAGATACCAATATAAAGGCTGGGAAAGAGGAACTGAATAATAGTAATTAACATATTGAGTACACAAGCAGGATTTATAGCCATTTAATATGAGTGAAACAAAAAGGCTTACTTAGGAGAATGGCACCTTAGTCTCCTTTAAAGTATACCTATGGTGACTTCAGATTCATCCCTTCTACTTTTCAAAATAGTCTGCTAAGTCCCTTTTAGGGATTGCCATCAGCTGACTCATCACATCACCTTTAATCTCACCCAATCTCCTTAAACAATAACTTTAACTAAGTTGCAAGGATCTCAATCTGGACTGGAGGAGTGACAGGCCTGGATGTTGCAATGTTCTGTCAAAAAAACACAGCACAAGGCATGAAGAATGTGCAATTAAGATATGGCTGAATATTTTCCAGGCAGTTTGTGGAATCTCCAGATGTAGGTCTTGCACACTGTCAATCACTAATTTCTCTTAATTGCAGCCTGCATATTTTCAACCATTTTTAGATGTTCTGCTTATTGAAGGCATTCCAGAATATGGACATCACTTGATAAGATTCTCAGCCACATTTGAAGCGTTGATATCAATCATCTCCACAAGCCCACTTCATCATTTGAATAATTTCTTTGGATGACTGTTCAATTTTTAAGCAAAACATGATCAACATTCATTTGTGACTACAATGATCACACAATACATAACCCCACTCAATGTTGTCTCATTGCTGACTGAATAACCTATATGGAAAACACACACACACACACACACACACACACACACACAGAGTAGAGCCAAGCAATGATTAGCCACCAAGTTACATGAAGATCATACAATCAGTTCTAGAGAAATAGATGGATATTTTTGGTTGGCTGATTTGTTTTCTATGGTTTATTAACCCTTTTGCTGGTTATTTAGATTGTAAAAAAAATTTTTTTTTTGGAGGTAATAATTGTTTAGTGATAAAAGTCGTACTAATTAACTCATAGCCAAGGGGAGGGAAGATGTGGATTCATACCTTCCGAAAGGGTATTTGTGTGTAAGTGAATATAACAAACTCAATGAGAATTGAAACTCAGCTCTCTGAATAACAATTGTAATCCATTACACCATCCATACATCCAAGCAATCACCCATCTAGGTACTGACCAGGCTCAACTTCAGTGATCGTACAGAAACTGGTGTTTGAACAGATCTTACATATTGTGTATAGCAACCCTGAATTGCCCACAAATAATTATAAAGATCTTAATTACAACCAATTATGTAGAATTTATACAATTACTGAGAGCATAAGACACGCGCAAAACAAAAAAAAAAAAAAAAAAAAATTATATAAACATATTGTTTTAAATGTTTTCCTTTTTTCTTAATACATGGGTTTATGGCCATAACTTGTTGAAACACTGGTTCTCTTCTGATCACCAAAGTTAAGCAATATTGAGTCTAGTCAGTACCTAGATGGATTACCACTTAGATGTGCTGTAACAGATAATGACTCAGAATTGGAAATCGGTGAGTCAGGTTTGTTATACTCAATTCCCAAATAGCCTTGGGAAAGACATGAATTTGCCACTTCTCCCCCCACAGGTGTGGGTTAAATAGTAGATCTTGTATCAGTAAATCATTGTTATCTCTAAAAAATTCTTTCAATCTAAAGATATTTTCTGGCTTTAAATAAACTGCTAGAGGTTGATAAGCTGTAAAAAACAAATCAATCAATCCTAATATATGTACTTATTCTGCCAAAGAGAGGCAAGTTACTTAAAAGGATTGATATAAATAAAAGTTTATTTGATGACTACTCATCTGCTGAACAACTGTATTGAATATATATATATATATATATATATATATATATATATATATATATAAAATTTAATTTTTGGCTAGTGATATTGGTAAAAAAGAATGGCTACATTAAGAGAGTGCTCAATACAATTTTCAAAAACAAAAATGTAGGGCAGCTTAAGATAATATAAAATATTTGAATGGTTTCATCTGGCAATACGTCTAGACTTACTGACGATACCATTCTGGTAGAAACCATGGTAGCATAACAGTCTGGATTCCAAATAATTTATATGTAAATTATTTTCAGATAGAGTGTATCTGTAAATTAATAAAATGATGAGGAAAAACTATTCTTAGCCAATGCATTTTGTCTTTTGTGAGACATTATCAAGGCAAATGTAGGATTTATTTTGTTGCATGTGTTTATATACAAGAGCAAGAATCTTATTTGTTTATTAAGTCGTTTAAATTCGAGAATGTTCATGAATATTCATCAGTTGACTGAAAGGTCAGCCAAAACATGTGAAGGACACAAAGTACCATAATTCAAAGTTTGGTAAGGCAAAAGTAAGAAAGTAATATTCAAGAAATATTTTTATGTATGTGTATGTATATATTTTCTGTTTATACATTTTTTTATTGATACTTATTTGAGTAAATGGTCAGTTTTTAATTAAACAGTATCAATTACATTTACTGGCCTGAATGTTTGAGAAATTTTGTAAATGGTCAGTTTTTAATTAAACAGTATCAATTACATTTACTGGCCTGAATGTTTGAGAAATTTTGTAGAAAATATGCATCCTCCGACAGGATTTAAAACTGTACCCTATACAGAACCGTCATTAAGTCTAATGTGCTATGACTGCTCAGCCACAGAGAACTTCCAGTTTTGCAAAGCTTGAATTACTGCTTTTAACCAGACCTTCACCAATTTTTCTTGATCTATCATATCAGGCCGTACATATTTAAAAATATTTTTCCAGTGAAAATAAAATGTTTACTTGTTTCCAAATTACTTTTAAAGATCATTCTCAAGGATCAAATAAAAGTAAATATTAACAAAAAAAAAAAAAATCCACATTTTTAGAAAAAAGCATAACTAAATTAAAATCTCAAATTTAATGGAGACAAAGCAAAATTTTTACTTTATAAAAAGAAAATATATATATATATATATATATATATATATATATATATATATATATAAATAAAATATATAAAAAAAATGCAATATATAAATAAATAAAAATATATATATATATATATATATATATATATATATATATATATATAAAATGATTATAGATCATAAATGTCAACATACCACCAAAGTGCGTCCAGCTGACTTGGGATTGGCTAGCTAGTGGAATTTGGTTAAGTTCCTTGGCATGTTGGGCAGCACCCATAGTTAGCAGTTTGTCAAGCATCTCCACAGGAGATAAATAATTATTAGAACAACTTGACTGATCAACTGAAAGGACAGGAAAAAAATTATATGTAAAATAGACAGAGAAGTAATTAATTATTGTTATAAAAATGGATTTAAGGCTTAACTTTAAAATACCTAAAAATCAAATTTGATGAATATTTAAGAGTCTTTTACTAATATAGCCACAAAAACCTTTAAAAGATTGCTCCCATAAAACAATCATTTAAGTCTTTAAATATTTCTTGTTTAAACTCACATTTAATAAAAGGCTTGATCTTTGGTAATGTTGGCTTTTATTAAAACTGTAAAGCTTAATCAGAGGAAGCTCTGAGAAAAAGAAGAATCATCATTATAGCAGTGTTTTTTTTGGTCCGGGATTAATCTCACACAAAGTTGGGTACTGCCTGACAGAGGATCTCAGTTTACCTCTCCACATGTGAGATTTTGTGGGGTGATATGCCACCCTCCAAAACCAACAGAAAACTAATATGACAATTCATTTAAATATATTTACAGTTTTAGTTATTGCTTTCTAGACTGAAATAAACTAGCTTCCAAGTGTTTTGTAGGATTTTATTTATCAAAATTATTCACTGAAGTTAAGCAAAGTTGAGCCTGGTCAGTACTTAGGTGGGTAATTGCTTGGGAATACCATGTACTGTAATTTTGGATGTGCAAGTGGTGTAATGGATTATGCCTCAGAATTGTTAATTAGAGAGCCAAGTTCCAATTCCTGTTGAGTCTATTATATTCACTTACATACAAATATCATTAGATTCATACCTTTGGGAAAGGTATGAATCCACCTCTGCTTCCCTCTTATGGATAAGATTTATGAAATGGTTATTACCTAAAAAATTCTTACAATCTAAAAATATTTTCTGGGTTTAAATAATTTACAAAGGGTTGATAAGCCATAGAAAATGAATCAATCATACTAGAAGATTTTCACAAATCTTGTAGAAATATTGGAACACGTTTATGTTTCTTTAAAAGGTGACTTGTTATTCTGTGTGACATGTCATGATAAAAATAACATGAAAAAAAAACTTACCAGTTTGAACAGGAGCATCTTCACTTTCAGTGGGGACATCTATAGGCTTTTTGCACTTGAGGCAAAGGCTAAAGGGTGATGGACTAAGTAGGAAGTGGTAAAGGTTGAACAATTCACAGTGTTGCTCGGACATATTGGACAACGACTGGTCATCAGTGAAAGATGAGATGAGGTTAGGGTCTTCTGTCTGGGTGGCTGCATTCTCAACCTGAACCAATTTGGTGTCCACTTTGCCTGAGGCACTGCTTATGCTTTTCGATTCCAGAGAGGTATCCATAGAATGAGCAGCTACAAAGAGATTTGGGCAAGATCGGCTTCGGAAGATGCTTTGTGATCGGTCTTGCATGAGAAAATTGTCAACGTCCGTTTCGCCAGTCATGCTAGTGAAGCGGATACGATTCACCTTCTTCTTGAACTGTTTCACAGACTCTGATGAGAGTTTCTCACAGGGAGAAGGTTTCAGGAAACCTGGAATCTCGCTATCACTGACTGAGGAAAATTTAAGTGGATCTATAATGGCATTCGGTGGATACTGACTGGTTAATTCTTCCACTTCTACATCACATACATCTGAAATAAGAAAATTTGAGGGGGTCTATAATGGCATTTGATGGATATTGTCTGCTTAATTCTTCCATGAGAAAAGCACAATTAAAAACAGTACTTGCATTATTTACATTATTTGGACTGTTATCATCATGTTCATTGCCATATTCACAACGTTTTGACCATTGTACACTCTGGCCTTCTTCAGGTGATTGGAATTTCAAACTGAACCATTTATTTCCTCCACTGTGGTAGATTGTTCTAGTTCCACGTGCCATGCCCCTTCCGAATGTTTCAGTTATTTCCCTTTAACTAAACTCTCCAAGTTTTTGGTTCACCATTGCTGTGGCCTCAACAACACATGACCCAGTGAATAAAGACGTTGGTTAGATCCAGTGACCAGACCCAAAGAGGTGTGAGTTCAATACCAGGCCACAGCAGTGGTGAACCAAAAACTTGGAGAGTGAAGTTAAAGGGAAATAACTGAGACATCCGGATGAGGCATGGCATGTGGAACAAGAACAATCTACCCCAGTGGATGAAATAAAGGGTTCAGTTCAAAATTCCAAACACCTGAAGATGGCTGAACCATACAAAATGAAGATGAGCATAACAGTCAGAATAATGTAAATAATGCAAGTAATCATAATACCTCATCTCAGAGATATAGACAATTATTAAAAAAAGTACTCATTACAATAGATTACGCAGTAAACATCAGTGTAACTTCAAATATCAAAACATTATTTAATTATAGCAATCTTCAATCCAAACTATTTGAATATTTGTTATAAGAAATGGATGTGCAGATGGTGCAATGGTTAGTGGTTTGAAACAAGAACCTGGTGAGCCAAGTTTAAATTTCAGTTGAGCTTGATGCATTCACTTTCACACAAATTCCCTTGAGTAAGGTGTGAATCCCTCTCTTCTCTCCAGGCTATGGGTTGAATAGTAGAGCAGACTGGGCTCTTCAGCTTTGGTTAGTAACCAGTCAAGAAGAACAACTATGAATTCAAAACTAGTTAGGCATGGATCTAGCAACTGCATCCTATAAAACCCTACTTGCTACAGAAACTGCAGTGGCAACACCTTGTGTAGCTGTGACCCCATAATCCTCAGCAAAGTCTGCAAGATTTGAGTTTGTTATAAGAAATACTAATTCATTTATCTGCTGTTTTGTAGATGAAACAGATTCCCATTCTCAAAGTAGAAAGCTTATCTTGAGCAACATTTCCTAATTTTTATAGACTTTTAATTGGTGGAATATATAAATTACAGGACACCATTTTATCTTTATAGGGTCATTTAAGAAAATTACAAGAAACAAATAAAATTTAAAAAAAATATTAGACCAGTTTTCTTTAACAGACAAAAATACCTTCTCATATAACTGAAGATCATTTCAATTATTAACTATTACGATTCTTTTTATTTTTTGTGATGTTTTAATGAAGGAACAGATTTTCAGGTTATCTAGAGGGTGGGTGGAAAGAAAGTCCCCATTAAAAATTACTTATAACTTTTGTTAATATTCCCACATTTGTAGAAAACAAAATATATTGCAATCCCTAAAATGGTAGAATTTCATCACTAATTTCTGTTTTTATTTTGGAGTGACAAATGTAGTTCAGAACAGTACAATCCCTGACACTATATGATCATGCATGGCTAGCATCCTGTTACGAAATGTAGCAGTCCATGGTACAAGTGCCAAGATGAAGGTGTCGTGTTGATGGACCTTGTGCTTTGGTAGATGCCAAAAACCTTCAAAAATTGTCATTCCAAGTTGACAAGTATGGTATCTGTGGTAGATACCCACAGAAGCAGTCATCCTTCAATGTCAAGATTGGAAGAAAATGTGTAAAACAGAATTTTAACACTGTGCTTTACTTCTATCATTATAATGTTCAAAATGAAACAGGCTTTATGAAAATCGACCAATAATTAATAAAAGTTATTAACAATTTTAAATAGGACGTTTCTGTCCAACCACCCTGTAGTCTATTCTTGTCATCTAGCAATAGAAAATGTTCTTCTCTAAATTGTTCTCTTTATTCATTACAATCAGCTTTTCCCCTCTCATCCCTCGATAGATACTTGTACATAATAAAAGGGAATTACTGATTTATATTTTATACATCTGAACACAAGTAGATTGGTACTGCTGATATTGACAAATGATGATCAATGAAAAGAAAACAAATTGCTATCATCATTTCAATAGAGAAGAAATAAAAAAGGAAAACTTTTAACAACATTGTATCAATACATGCCTTTCTATACAAATGCCTATGCTCATCTTAGTTGTTATACTCACATTTCAGCCACGAACTCTCCAGCCTTCTTCAGGTACTTATTAAGCTTCTCAGAATTTTGAACTGAACGTTTTATTCAATCCATGAGGATAGAGAGTTTTCATTCTGCTTTCCATAATATAGCCTCTAAGAATGGAAAATGGAATGAGAACAATCTATTGCCATTGATTGAATAAAGTGTTCAGTTAAAAATTCCAAAAAAGTTACAAAGACAGACACCTGAAAAGGGTTAGAGGGTACAGTGACTGAAACATTGTGAACATAACCAATAGGAGGATACTAGTTCAAATAGCAAGGCATATAATAATGATAATCCCCATCTAAAAAATAACAATAAACAATATATTTTAATATTATACATTTATGTTATATAAAAAGGAGTTTTATAAATTTTGTATATGCAAATTCAAAGTAAATTATAAAAGACATCATTTACCAGGTTTTCTTTTAAGAGAAACATGCTCACCTGATTGATCATTAGTTATGAAATTCTCAACAATGTTGTTCAAGGTCTGCACAGAGAATTCCAGGTTTTTCTTTTCATCTGATGGACTATTGACTTCTTCAGCAAAGTCAATTTTCTCTTTATTACACTCCAAGGAATTTTCCGATAACTCAAAGGTTGCTCTTACAGGACTAGATTTGAGTTCCTCTTCCGAGAATGACACAGGAGTAGCTTTGATTGCACCTCTCTAAAGAACAAGACAAAATAAGTGAACAAAGTCAAAGAATCAGAATCATATACATTTAGTCAGCTGATTAGTTTTAAAAGAAAGATCTGAAAACAAAAAGCAAAAAAATTAGAAAAAAAAAAACAAACAATTTAAAAAGAAACAAAAAACATCTAAAATTGAAGAAAAACTTCCAAATTACATGCTCTGCTTTTGTGGTTTCAAATAGCATTTAAATTGTGATTATCATTCATGTATGTAATAAAGTAAAAACTTACTCAACTTGTTGACTCAAACAATGAAAAAAAATGATTGATATCTATATAAATTTTTTTGACAGTGTTTCTGCTTAAAATTGGTATAGTGTAGTGTCTTTGTGGTCTAAACAATTATCTATTGCTAGGTTATTTTAAAAACCAAATGAATTCTCTCTTATCACTGATTATCAACTTGAAGTCAGTTGATTTAAAAATCAGCAGACACCAATGGCTCATATATATATATATATATATATCCGAGATGAGGTATTATGTACACTATTTACATTATTTGGACAATTGTCCTCATCTTTGTCGCCATCTTTATTATAACATTTCGGCTGTTGTACGCTCTGGCCTTCTTCAGGTGGTTGGAATGTCAAACTGAACCTTTTATTTCACTCACTGGGGTAGCCTGTTCTAGTTCCATGTGCCATGTTTAATGGATGTCAGTTATCAGTTATCTCCTGTTAATTCCCCTCTCCAAGTTCTCAACTCCCTTAACTGGGTATTGAACTCACACTCTTTGGGTCCTGTCACTGGATTTAACCAACACCTTTATCCATGCCTGATTTTTCAACTTCCCCTCATGTTACAGCTTTCTGGTGTTCTTGAAGCCTTACCTTAAGTGGGTATATGGAGAGAAAAGGGAGATCACTGCCCTCTGTGGGATCAGGTTGAGATCATAGACAAAGAACACCATTGGAAAATTCGTAAACTTAAGGAATCAGCACATATGCTAGGCCACAAAAATCTCCTGAGCTGACCAAGTATAAAAATGAATACAATATGGGAACCAGTAATAAGGATTGCCATAGAAAAGCAATAACAACAACTAAAAAAAAAAAAAAAAAATTGCAATATGAGCTCTGGTAAAAACATGTAATGATAACAGCAAAAATTGCAATATGAACATTGGTAAAAAATGGTTGCTGAAGATATTAGGTTTATAGTACCCAGAAAATCATACACAGATGTCCTCAAGGACACATGGCACAGTGAATAAAGGCGTTGGTTAGATCCAGTGACAGAACCTAAAGAGTGTGAGTTCAATACCCTGTTAAGGCAGTGGAGATGGGGATAACTGACATCCACTAAACATGGCACATGGAACTAGAACAGTCTACCCCAGTGAGCGAAATAAATAATTGACATTCCAACCACCTGAAGAAGGCCGGAGTGTACAACAGCTGAAACGTTGTAATAAATATGACAACAAAGATGAGGACAATTGTCCAAATATTGTGAATAGTGTATATATATATATATATATATATATAAAAATGTGCAAAATAAATTCAAGTTTGAGTGCAAAAGATGGTTTACTCAGTCCAGAGTTGATTTCCACTATATATATATATATATTATTCCACACACACAAGTTTTGTTAAAAATGACTGACAAGGTACAGTGGTTACTTTTGTTGTTGGCTGCCAGGTAACGTAATTTAATATTTGTGTATTTGGGAGGCAGTCCCTATTTTTTTTTTACATGTTTTATTATAAAAGCAGGATGTCTTATTTAGTAGATCATTTTATGAACAAAAAGACAGTGACAAAACTGATTTAAACACCTTACCATGATGCATCTGAGAGTTATCATTATTTACATTTAAGATGAGGACAATAGTCTAAATATAAATAGTGTCAGTGGATCATACAGGGTTTAGTTGTTAAGAACATGTCTTAAGTGCTTACCTCTAACTCACAGGATCCTAATCGAGAACCATGATCTGAAAGGCAAATACAAAATGTACATCATTAGAATTTATTTATAACTTTGAATTGTTCAATAAAAAAAGGGGGTGGGTGCAGTGGAATTTTTTTTTAAATTCAATTAACTGGGGTAAGAGCCTTAATAAAAGTGGGGTTGGAAAATGATTTAAAGGGCCAAAAAGTACAAAATTAATAAATGTGATGGTTAGGAGAGGGGGCTAGAAAAAGTACAAAACACACAAAAAAAAACCAAAAAAAAAAACCCAAAAAAAACCACACAAAACAAAAAAAAAAACAACACAAAAAAAACAAAAAAAAACACAAAACAAAAACACAAACAACAAAAAACTTGCATCTCATGTATCCCAGATCAAAATTTGAAAGTCAACTTGATAGAAAGAAAAAGTTTTAATAAATCTTCTTGAAATCATACATCATTATTTTTTAGTTTTATATCAGTATTGGAAAACTTATCTCTAAGGTTAACAAACTCATTATGGTAAATGACAGGTTTAGAATAACTAATTGAGATAATCTCTTTGGTAATAAGGATGAGATTAACAGTTTCCATACAAAAAAACCTTCAGCATTCATTAACCAAACATTCAGCATTACTGTTGGCTGAAATTTATAAAAGCTTTCTTTTAAAGCAGTTTTTCAAGAAAATAGGTTTATTAAGTCCAATAACTGTTATCACTCTTTCTAGTAATGATGGGAGTTTCCTTAAGATCATATGGAAATTCAACATTTTGATTATATCATTATTTTTCCTTCTCATTACATGCGCTACCCATTTTTGTTGTCACTGCTGTTGGAAGTCTTCAAGTGATGTGGTTTTTGGTATTTGGTAAAGCTCTTTGTGATATTGTAGCACCAGTCTCTAGAATCTGATGAAAGATTTACATGATTCATTATTGTTCAACTTCCTTATCTCTTATTATTTTGTCTTTTGATCATGTGAAGATTTACCATCTTCATTGTTTTCTCTTCTAATTACATGTGCTACCCATTTTTATTGTCACTGCTGTTGGAAGTCTTCAAGTGATGTAGTTTTTGTTATTTAATAAAATACTTTTTAAACTGTAATAAATATTAATGAGTCTTACTAATTAACCCATAGCTGGAGAAGAAGAGGTAGAGTCATACTTTTTCCAAGGGTATTTGTGTGTAAGAGAATATAATGAACCCAACAGCTCTTAGAGATGATAGTTTAGACATTTTTGAATAAGATTGATGCTATACATGACATCCATATGAGAGTTTAGATCTGATGAGGCTATTTAACAACTTTAACGTTTTTAGGCTAATATTTTGGTTTTGTAGTACTTATGGCGTTGGACAAAAGTACTCCTAATGTAACCTCACTTGTATTCAATTTCTCTATCTCCTACATGAAATCTGTTATAACTGATCCATACACCAAAGTATCTGAAGTACTTCAAACGAAAACCTATTATAAATTCAATGTCAGTTTTAACAAAGATTTTATATATTTAAAGAAAATAAAACACTTCTTTTACACAAGTTATTAATTATCAAAGTCCAGTCTTGAATCTTGTTCAAAGCCATACATAGATTCAAATTTATAGGTTTTAATTTTTTGCAGGAAAAAAAAAGAAAAGGCAAACATGGACCTTCATGCTTGCAAAAAAAAAAAAAAAAATGGAGTGTCAAGAAGACTGGTTTTCCCCAAGACACCACTTTTATTTTAACTAACTTTGCTCTTCAGAATTATTTGTTTTAAAAAGTAATGATTAGAATTGTAATAAAACCTGAACATATGAAAGTGAATTTATACATTTTCTTTGTTCTTGAGAATTAACAACAAAAATAGTAAACACTATTTATCAGTGTTTATTTACACTATTATATTGTTTATTGGAACAGTTTACAAAACATTGGCTAATTGCCAGTTGATCCAAACAATATAAAAGGGCAAATAAGAATTTTCTTATAGCTAATTCACATATTTTAATACTTTAGCAAATGTTTATAAATTTAGGAATAACAAAATTTTCATATTTATTTCTTCATAAATATTACATTGTATTAGTTTTTAGAATGTTACAAATAAAAAATTATTCTTGTAAATAAACAATCAAATAAATAGTATTTAATATTTTTGTTGTAAATTCTCAAGAAGAAAATGTAAAATTCACTTTCAGATGTTTAGATTTTATTCCAATTCTCATTGCATTTTAAAACAAACATTGTCAAAGAGTCACAATAAAAAACCCTCCTCTTGATACTATTTTGAAGGTCTATGTTTGCCCCTTCCCCCCCAAAAAAAAACAAGTGGTATGAACATTAGAGGATGAATTTGTATATATTAAGTGTAAATTTCCAAAAAATTTCAACAAGGTCATTTAAGACTACTTACGGTTAACTGGAGTTTCTGATTCATTATAAAGTGTGGATATAGGAGTGCCACCCTTACTAGGGGCTGCTGATGCTATCTGAGATACAGGAGGGGTAGTCAGTTGCATATCTAATGAAGGGCTCCACCATAACATTGGATCTGGGGTCAATACATCTCCTTTTAATGGTTGACACAGTGTAGATAGATTTAAATCTGAAGAAGAAAAAAAAAAAGGGCAGAACATGTTATATCAAAAATGCATTTTAAAACAGACAAAAAAAAATGTAACTACAGAGATTAAAGTTAAAGTAGAAACGGAAATAATATAATCCAATCTTATATCCAATTTCACTATTTTAGGAGGCACAGTTGATGTAATGGTTATCAGTATGAAAAATTGGAACAAGTGAGCCAAGTTCAAATTCTGACTGAGGATGAGTGCATTCACTTTACACTATTATTGAGAAAGGCATGAATCTATGTTCCCCCACTAGCTGTAGGTGAAATCAATATAAATATTTTTAAAACTGCACCTTTCAGCATAATCAAATAATAAAAACGAACATATAAAATCAAAATTATTTTAGATGTAATAAAATTAGGCACCTTCATGTGATTGCTAAAAAAAGAGCATAGCATGATGAAAAAGATGCCTAACTTGACAAAAACAAAATTTTAGCGTCTAAATGTTTATGTTATTATTAAGAGGAAAGACCAAAGGTTTTTTTTTTTTAATTTTTAAAAAAAATTTTTCTTCTTTTTAGAACACTCTAAATTTTGATTGAAAAAAACCTTGTTTCTCTTTGTATCACCGGAACCAGTAAAATAACATATCCAATTTTTAGCACGTTTTTTTTTTGTATGACACACATTAATTTGGAAAATCTTGCAAAAATAAAACTAATTGTCAGATGTTAATGAAACCTTCAGAAACTATTCACAGATGATGGAAATTATGTTTTTTTTATATTTATTACCCCCCATAACTAATTTTATGAAAACTCTAGAAATTTAGTCACATTCAGTTTAGTGATTATATTAGTTAAAAGCACAAGGCTTTGAGGAAAGCAAATCATGTTTTTTTTTTTTTTTAATTGGACCCCCCACTACCTGAAAATCAGCCCTGAATTGTAACATACAAAACTCAATAAAGCAAAAATATTTAATTTCAAATGCTTTTAGTTGTTTTTATGAATATGGACAATATTTTCTGAAAGCAAAATATTTTTTCGATGAAAAATGAATTTTTAATACAATTATTTGTTATTTCTTTAATTATTTTAGATTAAAAAATAAAAAAAAAAAAGATATTTTTACAAAATACCCCCAAAATACTTTGATCTTTCCTCTTAATAATAACAAACATTTAGATGATAAAGTTTTGTTGTCGTCAAGTTTGGTGTCTTTTTTATTATGCTATGCTCTTTTTTAGCAATCTCATGAAGGTACCTATATAAAATAAAAAAAGTTCATACCAAGGCTTCCAGAGGATAAAAAAGAATCTTTGTAACTTCCAGTGGGAACCCCAGCTACTATTGATGAGAAATCAACTGAAGTCCGCTTACTGTTTCTTCTTTGGTAGGAGAACAATGTTGGTATGTCCTCATCCTTATACATAGTGCCTTCAATTGGATCCAGAATCAGAGAGGCACAACTGGCAATGATATCGTGTGTCTCTTTGCTGTGCCATCTGTCAATTAAAAGGGGAAAGAAATCTTTTCACTTATTTCAAGAGTAGGGATTGAAGAGAAGGAAAGACAAAAAGCTCAGCTAATATATTACAAGAGATTTCCTATTAAATACATTTTGACATTACAGACACATTGCCTTACAATTAACCAAGAATACATTTGGAAATTTAACTGAAAGGAATTGAGAATAAATTTGCATATCAATTCCTGACAAATATTTTTTTTATTCTATGATGAATTATGTCAACATCAATATGATATTGTTCTCCCGTCAAAAGTTAATTCAATCAAAATCTACAAGATAATCAATTGGTTTTAGAAAGTAGTTCGCTATTGCTTTAAGGAAAGGCATTAGCCAGTTTTTTTTTTAAATTGGATCATTGGACACGGAAAATATTTTCAGAAAATCCAAGTTTTAGATTACTGAATATACTAGAGTATAATAATGTGAGTTTTTATGATCAGCTTTTTTTATGCCAAAAAATAAGCAGTTGCAATATACACAGTATTTTTTTGAAGAGATTAAAAATCATGCATTTTCAGTAACTGCTTGCACTATAGACAGATAAATTTTTTCTAGAGAGGTTAAAATTCAAAAAAAAAAAAAAAAAAAAAACAACCTTCAGGGGTTGCACTATACATGAAGAAGTTGTCTTATGCACTAGTATATACAGTATTCCTACAAACACCAAAACTAAGTTTATCCTGAAATGAATGTAGACTCCTGTTAGTTTTTCTGGGGGGAGGGGGGTTACAATTTATTCAACTAATTACAAATACAAATCAAAACTGAACTAAGTTGTATTGTCATGATAAATACCATATAAGATTATGAGTACAGAAGTGTTTTGCTTCTGATTATATAAACATATAGGAGATGGAGGGAGAGGTAAACTAATATGGCATCTGGGTTATAATACTATTTATAGTATTCCTAGCCATATTTAATTGAACTATGATAAAAAAATATAAGAGATAAAATTATGAAAAATACTGTTTGTGAATGAATGAGAATAAAAGTGTGGAATAAAAATAAATTAATCCTAGAATGGAAAGTACATACATAATGCCTATGTAACAACTATTAAACAATATTTTGTGCTTAGTTCAATATCTTAACTGTTATTTATAGAGATAGATAGCAATGTTTGCATCAATTCCAATTCTTAACAGCAAGGGAGTTGAAAGTATCAGTAAAAGAAAATAGTGATAAAGAGAAAACAATCATGTCACATAATATTTCATTTCATCATCCATGTACACCAAATGGTAGGATGTTAAATGAGTTTCTACAAAGTATTTTCTTATTCTTAGAAAAGTTTTAATATGAATGGACTTTGTATTTTGGGAAGAGTTAAAAAGATTTCTAAGCCTTTTCTTAAACTTAAGTTCACACATTAAAAAAGTAAATCCTAATGAAAAAAAAAAATTAGCCATTGTTATTATTATTATTTATAATTTTCCTTATTTAAAAAAATCATCTCAAAATAAAATTTACCTGCTGGACACAAGTTCCATTTCTTTAGATCCAGTTATGATAAGCGGATTGAAACGAACACGTTCTAACATAGGCTGAAACAAGTGAAAAAAAAAAAAAAAAAAAAAAAAAGACTCATTATAACTGAACATTTATTTTATTTGTATTATTCAAGATCTTAAAACATATCTGGAACAAGAATTGGGTAAGTAAATGGAATCCATTTATTTTCCAGGATTTCTTTGTTGGTAATATCTAAAAATGCATCTGAAATTCAATTTGTATTACAATTTAATTTTTATAAGTATTTTAAATTTATTTTCTATCACTGATGGAGAATTGTATTCTTGTTTAAAACTAAACCAAGCAGCAAAAGCCACAAATATCTAATGGAGTGCAGTGAACAGACATAATTCATTCTTGGTTGAATGAAAATCCAAAGTAATAGAAAAAGAAAAAAATTCAATGTTATTTCAGTAACAACAATTTAAGGAATCATATTTAAGTGTGGATTAATAGGCAAAAATGTAAAAGAAGCCTTCTTATTCCATTTTGAGATTTCATTGAAAATAAATAAAATAGCAGCAATTCAGAGATGAGGGATTTTCATTATCAATTTGGACCAATGTTTTGTTTTTTTCATCTTATTGTTACTTTTCATCAGAATTCTCTCAGTTAATGAATATTAAAGTAAACAGCATGGGTCAGAAATAAAGTAGCCTTCAAATATTTCCCGTCCATTTATTTTAACAGTTATATATTGATTAATAAACTCACCTTCACAATTTCTTTGTAAATAATTCTGTTCTCCTCACGGCGAACAAACTTGCGCAAAAAATTGAGGAAGTTACAAGGGAAAATTCCATATAAGCGATGAAAAAAGGCATACAAAGAAGCTTGCAAATGGAGAAGAAATATTTCTGGAACATTTCCTAAAAAAAAAAAAAAAGTCACATATAGTCTTCAATGTTAATGGTTTCAAATAGAAATAATATAAAAGTTAAAATAAAATTGCAAAAACTAAAGCTGACAGCTTCACTTATGTAACTGAGTTTCTGATTCTGAATAGGAATCTAAAACAACATTGTAAAATATGCAATAAACAGATTTTAAAATGAAAAATATAAAAATATTCCTCATGAAATCATGAAGACAGGTTTAATTAGCCAAACATTTGCAATTTGGCCAAATTTAATTATTGCTTTTGTCAGCATTAAATATGCTATTTTTCCTTCTAAATAAGCTCTGAAAATTTACCCCATGTCCTACAGGGCAAAGGCTATGTTTTATTGTTTTACTTAATTTTATTTTTTATTTACAAAATTTTACAAGAAATTGGGATGTATCTTTTGTATTCTCTATGCTAGAAAATAGCTTGTCTTTAAAAATTCATAGTTGACTAATTGAACAATATTGTAAAAAAAAAAAAAAAAATCTATAATGGACAAATTATCAAGTTTGTTAGAGACAGGCTGCAAAATAAGTTGACAACAAGGGCATAGAAGATATCTTAGTTTGTTATATATATATATATATATATATAGATAGATAGATAGATAGATAATATTAGTGGTAAATATACATACATATGCAAAATATATAAATACCCATACATGTATATTTTTTGAATAAAAATTCCAAGAGGACAGAATCCAGGTAGAACTCAATGTCCAGGACAGAATAAGTATATAATAAAAAGGCTTAAACACTAATATTCCATGGTCATAATTTATTCCATTGGAATCGTAAATACGATCCAATTCATCAGACCTACAAATTCAAAAAGAAAACAGAAAAACGAAAAAACAACTCCAGAAATAAAAACAGAATTTAGAGAGAGTGTAAGTATGAGGGGTAACATACTAGAGAAGATGGATGGATGTATATGTAGATGTGTGTATGTTTTGGTATGTATGTATTCATATATATTTGTATATGGGTGTATATGTACTAAATACTAATCTAAAACTTTCCCTTCGTGCTATTTAAAATTCACTTCCAATTGGAGAATATTAGAGGAGAAATTTGGAAGAGATGTCACTAGCAGAAAATTAGGCCCTTCTTTTACAATTATCTATATCTTTATACCGGGTTTTTTTTTTTTTTGTGAGTGTGGAGATGTACAATTAGATAGGTACTTATATATTTTGCCATAAATATGAAAGATCGGGTAATATTATATGTGTAAAGATATAGATAATGTAATTAAATACTGAGATAGTCCCAGGCAACGCAGGCATAAGTGGATGCACGGGGTGGACATGAGGATAGGGACAAATACGTGGGTAGATATATGCAAGTGCAAATTAACATAATATGTGGGTATGTAGATATTCTGCATATGCATTATGCATATTTGTGTATGTATGTATGTATGTATATATGGGTGTGTGTATGTATGTGTATACGTATGGATGTGTAAATATATATATATATGTGTATGAACATATATGGATATGCAGATGTCCATGTGTGTATATGTATATATGTAAGTATAAGTATACATGGAGATAGGTATGGAGACATGTGGATGTGCGTTTTCTCTGCAGGTGTATATGTGTAAAGATGGAAATATACATATATCGTTTCGTGTGAATGTGTGTGTAGGTGTATATAGGAACTCATAGGCATATAAGATGATATGCTGGTTACGAATAAATTATGAACATGGAATATTAGTGTTTAAGCCTTTTTATATATATATATATATATATATATATATATATGCAGATAGAATATCTGTAAAGGAACAAAATGAAAAACTATTCTTAGCTGATGTGTTTTGTCCTCTGAGGAACTTTATCAAGACAAATTTAAGGATTTATCTTGTTGCACAAGAGCAAGTATGTCATTTTATCAAGACTTTTAAATTTCAAAATGTGGAGGACACAAAGTGCCATAATTCAAAAACTGATAAGACAATAGCGAGTAATATTCAAGAAATATTACATATATACATATAAGTAAAATTGCTGGTAAATTATTTCTTTAAAAACAAAAACAATACTTGTTCAAATTTTTTATTTAAGATTTGACAGTTAACAAGGGGTTTTTTTTGTATCCTAATCTTAATTAATTAATTTATTTTTTTTTTTTTTTTAGGTACAAGTGTTTTTACTGATCAACTATTTTCTACAGATGAATTTTAATAGATTAGGAGAAAATTTTCCCTAAAGAGGGGAAAAAGGGTAGCAATGAGTAGAAGCATGATGGAGCTAGAGGATGCAAATGATTCTCACCAGGCTTCTGGCAGCAAAACGTAGCAACTCGACCAAAAATTTCAAAAAAATCTTGCAAATACTGAATCGTATGTTTTGGTAATACTGGAAGCAGAGCAGACAAAATGGTAAGCGCTGTCATCAATACAGGGACATCTGTGTCAAACTAAAGAGAGAGAGAGAAAAAATATATATTTTATTTCAGTAAATAGGAAGAGATTTTTATTTTTAAATTTAGAATACATTATTAATATAGAAAATAGATTGATAAAAGCAAATTTGAATTTCAGTTCAGGGTGCTTATATTCTAGTCACAAATGTCTCTGGGTGACTATTGGTGAGGGTAGAGTAGAATAGTTCAACAGGCTCTTGTAATTATAAACAAGTTTCAGATAACAATATTACTCTTTCTTATTTATACTTACAAGCGTTGGCTGAAAATTTAATTGGCTGATTATCAAGGAGTGATGTTAGAGCTGTGAAATCTTGCATGCCTTAATTTCAACCCTTCTTATTAATAACTGCATTGTTTCTTTCCAAGTAAACTGACATCTAACTGTTCAAAGAAAACTTTAACAGTAACTAGTAGCAGCTTCTCTTGAAAACGGACAATATTTGGCATTGTGGTGTTATCAAGTACTACCTGCAGAAGAAGGGTTTAGCCTCCAAGGACATTCATACTGACATGGTTGCTATGTCAGGGGATGATGCTCCAGCTTTATCAACAGTGTAAAAGTGGACAGCTGAATTTAGGAAAGGAAGGGAGAGTCTTAAAGATGACCCAAGGTATGTACAGCCTGCAATTGCCACCACTGAGGTCAGCATTGTGTTTACATGTTGACGAATGACAGGCAATTGACTAAAAATCAAATAGCCAATTCTATTAGTATATCTCGCAAGAGAGTTAAGAATATTCTGCACAATGATCACGCATGACAAAGGTTTCTGCTTGGTGGGTGCCATGTCTTCTGACACCTGATCAAAAGTGCACCAGGCTGATTACATCATAGGAAAATCTGATATTGTTTGAGATATATCCAGCTGGTTTTCTTGACCATTTCCTAACTCAGGATGAGTGTTGGGTTCATCACACCCAGAGACAAACGGACAATCCATGCAGTGGAAACACCCCTCCAAAGAATGGCATGATTGATTCATCTGCAAGGAATATGAAGGCATCATGTTTATTGAACATCTTCCAAAGGACCACACCATCAATGAAGAGTACTATGCTAACTTGCTGAGGCAGTTACAAAAATCTATCAATACCAAACGCCCTCGGAAAATTAATGAAAGGGGTCTTGTTTCATCAGGACAATGCTCCAGCACACAAGTCCTTGATTTTAATGGCTGCTGTGCATAATTGTGACTTTGAACTGGTTAATCACCCGCTTTATTCTCCTATCATTAGTTCCCCAACATGAAAAAACTCTTGGCTAGGAACCAGTATCACAGTGATGATATATCATATGATATCATATCATAGGATTGTATAGATGTTATTAGAGTTATCTGCCCTTGGAGTGTATAAATGTAAGTGAGAAAAAGGCGGCCATTTTGCTTTTTCAGTATTGCTCAGAAGCATGTCCAGCGGACATCTTCTGCACTTTACAATGATATATCATGTGATATCTGCTGTTGATGACTTTTTTCATCAATGGAATGAATAATCATCTTTGAGCAGTTAAATTTCAGTTTATCTGAAAACATAATGCAGTGATTAATAAGAAGAGCTGAAATTAATGCATGTAAGATTTCACAGATCTGGCATCACTCCTTCATTGTCAGCCTATGAACTTTTCAGCTCACCCTCATATACCCAATAAAGGATAATGGTGAAGTAGAGTCATTTTACACAAACCAACTTTATGTTCCTACATAAAAAGACATTTTTATTATTTGCACATTATGGAGTTAACAGGATGGGCAGTAAGATGTTTTGAATACATCCTCTTCCAACCTGTCAAACAGTAGGGACAGATTCATAAGCAAATGTCCTATCCATTTTTCCCTGTGGTTTTTTTCATCACCAAATAACTTGGCAAAAACATCTAATCACTGGCATGTCACAATAGTTGACTAAGAGAAAAAGAGAAAGCATTTAGGTAAACCACTGCACCACGACTATTTTATAACTTCAGCAGGTATACAGGAAATGGCTTTAAGTTTTGTAAACTTTGACAGGGGGATAGTTATTTGCAATCCATTTTAGCACAGTCATCTTTAAGAAAATATTAAAAATTGAAATTAATAAAAATAATAAATATAAATTATTATAATATAAGCAATTCTATTTTTTTATCATTTAAACTAGAGAAATGCCTGTCTCTCTCATAATCTGAAGTATGAAGGAAATATATAGAAATAACATCTGTTGCATTTGAAATATGAGCCAACCACTTAATAATAAAGAACACGTGAATGTAGAGAGATAAATTAAAGCCTGCCTAGTCACAATGGGAGAAAGAATTTTTAAGATCCAAACATTCAGAATAATAAATAAATAAAGGAGAGGGGAATCTTACCTTGACACACTTGATGATATCAGAGAAAAGAGGAGTGTTGCCAATATGATACAGCCAAGTAGGTTCTATTCCGATGGCATAAAGCACTACACGTAAAATTGCCAGTTGACGTTCAGGACACTTCATGCTCTCATGCAACTTGTCCAGTAACACCTATAAAAGGAGGTGAATGAAATGGTGACAACTAGCTTTCTATCGGGATAGGAGCAAGAAATTTGGTTATTTGTAAAGCATATTTTGTCTGTCATTAAGACTTTGTTACCTCTGATGATTGTTTTTGTACAATGTAATTAAGCAGTTTATCAAAGAGATTCAGTATTAACCTTTATAGATGATAATGACATGTGTTACATTCTGTGAAGGAAAGACCAACTGAGCAGGAATTAACCAATCAAAAACAGGTGGAACCATAGAAATGTCCTCATTAAAATAAAATAAAAATAACTTGGACTAGAATTTGTAAATAAAGAATTTAAATATTTTAAATTAATTGCTTTGAAAGATTATCAATATGCATTTTTTTAGAATTTGATAGAAGTAAAAAAATAAAAACTATAATTTTCTAAATTCTTTGTAAAATTTCAAGAAAACACATGGTATTTAACTGACCTTGGTTATTTTTAAAGGTTTGAGAAAATAATATTTGAAGAGATATCGGGAATTAAATTTAAGACGTTTCCATATAGTTCAATTTTAAAATACAAGACATATTTTTGTTCTGAGACACACGTTTTGCAGAGAGGTGATAACTCACTTTAATCTACTTGCAAAATAAACAAACAAAACATTAAATAAATTCTCTAGAATAATATTATTAGAGAAATGTAAAATTTGTAAAACTAGACAAGTTAAATTAGAAGGGCAAAAACTTTATCCGAGACAAAGATTAGTTATAACGATAACAAAGAACTGACTTTTTCATGTTGTTCATTCACAGAAGAGAGTATTTTGAGAGCCTCATCAGAATGAGTGGTAAGATAATAATCCAGCAGCATTGAGATCATCCAGGATTCTTTTGCTGTACAAGAAAAAGAAAAATGACTGAATTCAACAAGATGATTTGAGAGATTATTGATTAGACCTTACATTAAATACAAGCAACAATTCAAAGTTTAATTCAAATATATAGTATCCAACATCATTAACCATTACATCAAACAAGAGGACACTTCTTATTACCTTTAAAAAAAAAAGAAAAAAAAACACAAAGTTAACCAATCTGTTGAATGTTGAAATTTTGGGGTTTTTACTTCTTGAAGGTCATTTTTAGTAAATATCAAGAATTAATGTTAAAAGGTGTTCCAATAACTTGGACAGATTTTAAATGAGAATCAAGTTTAAGCATCTAATGATTTTTTCTTTGTGTTTCAGATTTTGGCAATTTCAACCATGGAAAGATTAACAATCAAACAACATGTTAAAGTTATCGAAGCCTATTATGAAACAGAAATTGAATGCAAACTGGCCACAACAATCATGTCATCTCAAAAGTAAGGTTCATGTCAACAAGCTAACAACAATTCAACAGCTGAAGGATGAGATAATAAGGCATATTGCTGAGATGTCCTCCAAAATTTTGACCATCGAGTGGAGGTGTGCCATCAAAGCCTTGGTGGACATTTGGGCAATATTATTTTTCACACATAATTGCCATGACTTAAAATAAAATGATCCAATAGAGAAATAAATTTCACTAATAACACTGATTTATTTACTGCTAACTTTGATCTGTCTTAATGAAACACTCTTGAGTGTTAAATAGTAAGACTTGGTTTCCTATCTCTAAACTTCCTAATGATTTTATGTGTATAGATATTATTTACATTATATTAGAGTTTAAGAATTGTAAGAGTTAGCAGTGAAATATTTGTCTATTTTAGAAGACTCAGAAATAAAAAAAAAAACAAGACAAAACTAATAAGTTACAAGAAGCTAAATATGTGTATAATTTCCCAACTATAGATTAAAAGATTCTTTTTACAAAATAGAAAAGCAATTCAGTGTTGAAATAAAGTAGAGATTTTATTAAAATAAAATATTTTATGATATTTTATAACAGACATAGGTAGACATCTGTTTATCTCGCAAGATAATAGTAGTGTCCTGTTTAGTCAAAATTCAGTTCTTTGGTGGTAAGACTGGTGTGACCTCTCCAGGTTGTAGGCCTGGGTGATTGTATATGGAGGCCATATGCTGCCCAGACCACATGGACCCCTATCTCAGTTATATTGTGTATATATAAAAAAACACCAATGGCTAAACAAAAACACAAGAAGACAAAACAAATTACAAAACAGTCATACATGAAGACACAAATATCAAAAAGAAAAATATAAATTGGGACTTAAGCCTAAAATACTCAGAAATTATGAAGTCATTATTTATGGCATACAATAAAAATAATCTATATTACCTTTTTTACAGTATTAACACATAAATGATCAATTGATAAAAAATAAATGCGAGTAGAAAAAAAAAGCAAAGTTGATAAATATAACTTTAAGTAAACAAAAAGTAAAAATAAGAGACAATTTTCAGGCTAGTTGTACAAAATCAAATAAATACTAATACAGAAAAACTTGGTAGCTGGAAAAAGTTGAAAAAAATAAATCAATACATATATAAATAAAAATAAATATAAAAATCATAGTAAATATAATAAATGAAATAAAAAAATAATAATAATTGTGATTTATATTACTTTTAAACAATATTAAAATCTATTCATTTTTGTTGATTGTTGAAAAAATGTATCATCTCTCCTTCAGTTCAGAAAGCACTTAACACAAGCCATATTAAAAAAGAACAGATTAAAATGCCATGTATGTAAAATAGGGCACACAATTTTTTCTATAGATTTATTTTTTTTTTAAAACTGGTTACATCAGGTGTGTCAAACTGGCTGCATGTGGCCTTTTACATGCATCTTGGCGGCCCTCACAAAGGTTTCTATAGCCATGGTATATCGAGAATTTTGTCTATGTTAGTAATGCAAATTATTAAAAACAATGAGATTTTTTGAATTGGTATGACTAGATTGCTTATTCTATCTCAATGGTTTTTTTTTATTTTTGAATGTCAGCGTCTATTTTTAACTTCCAGTTAATCATGTGATCATCCTTGACAACTAAATACGAACAATTGTAAAGGGAAAACATTTGTAATTTTGTAATATTTTGCCTTAAAAATGTTGAATTCTACTCTATCTTGTAAAAAGAGAAAATTATCTGAAGGATGTGTGTTTCAAGAAAAGTACGAATTACAGTACTTTTGTGCCACTGTTAATGGAAAGCTAAACTGTTTGATTTGCAACCACTGCATTTGACACCAAAAGAATATAATGTGAAAAGACATTATGAAACAAAACATCAATCTTATGATAAATATCAAGATGTACACGTTTCAAAAGTGAAGGAATTCAAGGTTAAGTTAACACAACAACAGAGTTGCTTTACAAAAATTCAGAAAGGCAACATTAGTTCTGTTACTGCAAGCATTGAACTCTGCAAAATGATTGCCATCAGCGGAAAATATTACAGTGAAGGAGATTTCATAAAGCGATGTCTTGTAAAACAGCTGAAATTGTATGTCCAAAGAAGTCACACTTATTTCAAGACATTTCATTAAGCAGGAACACTGTTGTTGAACAGATTGGTGAAATGGCAGGTGATTTGAGTTGACAGTTGAAGACTTTATCATCAAGTTTTGAACATTTTTCTATTGCTCTGTATGAGACTGTTGACATAGCTGGAATAGCACAGCTCGCCATTTTCATCAGGGCTTGTGACAATGAATTTCAAATTTATGAAGAATTAATTGAACTGGTCCCAATACATGATACTACAACAAGCCAGGATATTTTTGAGAAAGTTGAACAGCTTCTCCATGAGTATGGCCTTGATTTGAGTAAACTTGTGTGTTTATCTACTGATGGTGCTGCCAAGTTAGGTACAAAAATAGAAAATATATCCAGATTCAACATTCAAACATTTTCACTATATATTTCATCAACAGAACTTATGTTCTAAGATTTTTAAATTAGATCACGTGTTGAGTTTTGTCACAAAAACAGTGAACTATATCACTGTCAGTTTAGCCAGTTATTGGAAGACATGAATAATCAGTTCACAAATGTCCCATTCTACACAAAAGTTTGGTAGCTTTCATGTCACAAGGTACTGAAAAGATTTCTTTTTATTGCAACACAAAATTGTTGTGTTTTTAGAGATGAAGGGTCAAAGCACAGATGAATTGAAAGATGAAAGCTGGTTCCAAGATCTAGCTTTTTCAGAGGATATTACTGCCCAATTAAGTGACCTTAATTTGAAATTATAAGGTAAAAATAAGCTCATCACCGAGTTATATGATGATATCAAGTGCTTCATTGAAAAATTAGCTTTAAGTCCCAGATGTCACATGAAAACTTGATTCATTTTCCTATGTGCAAAGAGTTGAAAAAAACTGCCAATACTGAGTCTGTATTTATCTTTGCTAAGTACAACAATTACTTGGAATTACAAAGGAATTTCAGTGAAGATTTTGTGATTTTTCATCTTGTGAAGATCAGTTTGCATTATTCTCAGCACCATTCACTTTTGATGTTTCTCAGGCAGAAGAAAATCTACAGATGGAACTACTGGAAATGCAGACTGACTAAACATTCAAGGGAAAGTACCTAGAAGTAGGGTACCTGGATTTTTTTCATACCTTCCTCAGACATTTAAGAATTTCAGAAAGTTTGCCACAAAGATTATGGCAATGTTTGGTTCCACATATTTCTGTGAGCAGTTATTTTCATTTATGTAAGCCACAAAAACATCTAACAGAACTAGATTAACTGATGAACATTTGTCATCTTTGATCAAAGTTGGGATCTATACAGACATTCCAACCTGATATATCGAGAATAGTTTGTCTAAAGTGATGTCAATCATCAGGACAACATAAAAATGATTAAATTGTACTACCTTGTAAGTATTTAGTGGTAACTAAAGTAGAACCACATTTCTGTTGCTTAGTGATATAAAAGAACTTCTTGTTTACACTGTTGCTCTGCTTGCCGTTTTCTTTAAGAATATGCAAGAGAAAATGATGGTCACCAATGGATAATAAAGCTAGAAATAGGATTTGCTGATACATCAACACAAACAAGAATCAAGTCAAAACAATATTTTTTTGCTTTTACTCTGGCACAAATAAATTGATAATATCAAGTAAAGAAGGTATTTTGTAAAATCTTTTTTTTTGGTGCCTCTTACAATTTAGAGACAACTGATTATACTGTATAGTGCATTTTCAAAACAGAAACCATTACATTAGATAATGTCTTTGAATTCCAATTCTTAAATATTTTACATCAAGATTTGGGGATCAAATTTTAAACATTTTGAGAAATTATCTGTGTCACCTGACCATCATTAAGTGCAATTTTTTTATTTTTACCTTCAGGTAAAATTTAAAGAAAATTAAATCTTATACTTCCCTGGGTTTGTATATACTCTGCCTCCTTATAGTCCTGTAGACTCCATTGAGGAGTTTTGTGATATTAATGAACACTTGTTGCCACTTTTGTAATGTCAACGAATACTCGTCGTCACTTTCGTAATGCTCATTGTAGTAGAGACTTTGTAATCGCAGATACAACTATAGTAATGCTGTTGAACAATACTGGTGTCAGACACCTTCGAATAACACTCACACTAATAGTACTTGCTTGATAATACTCGCTCAAAAAGTAACCCGTGTAGTGATCTGAATCAAGAAATAGTATAGTGAATAGAGTAGAGAATCGGGGTTCGTATAGTAATAGAGGATAAAGTAGAAATGGTGATCAATTACACTAGTAGATCAATTACGCTAGTTTTCATATATACATTTCCTTTGCCATCACGTGATCTACTTATTCAAAATGTGATCGCCTGTGTTTGCTCTCTGGTGATCTGTGTTCAAACTCCAGTGTCGTTAGCGACACTTTATTCCTATATAACACCTCCTCTTTGAGATGACTTCTTCTGGAGTCTATACTTCTCCAGCTTCGGTTCAATATTCAGGTGTCCTGTTGCTGTTCTTTTTCTTTTACTGTACCTCCTTGGTTCACTAATTTCTGGTGGCGTGAGTACATCAAACATGTCATACAATATTTCCATGAACTTACTAAATCAGTGAATCTCCATTTTAACTAATTAAGGTGTCGCTTATATTCCTACCTTTGTCCCTGTACCATGTATGTCATTTTGCCGATCCGTTTTTTTATAACACCATCTTCCCAAAATTCCTTTCCACATTGACGCATTTTAAAAAATACCTTATCTCCAAATTTGAACTATATACTTATATTGTCATTTCTTGATGCTCTCACCTTATGTTCTGGTAATAATTTATTAAAAACGGACTTAATCTTCCTGGCGAACATCAACTCTGCAGGCGACATTCCAGACATGGTGTTTGGGTTTGGTGTTATTCTGTAAACACTCAGAAATTGCTGAATCATTACTTCATCTGACTTCTCTCCTTCTGACTATTTTAGTGTCCTTTTAAATGTATCGACAAACAATTCTGCTTGTCAATTTGATCGTGGGTGATAAGGGGAAGTTGTAATATGTTCTGTTGCTAATAATTTGCAAAAAAAACTTAAATTCACAAGATGTGAATTGAATCCTGTTATCTGAAACAATATAGTCAGGACAATCAAACCTTGTAAAAATCCTGTGTAGGAAATTTATCCTTACTGCAGTAGTCGGTCTTCTACATTTTAATATTAATACTCCGTTTAATGGTCCTGCAAAGTCTATATGTATTCTGGACAATGGTATATCGATTTTCGGCCAAGGTTGAATATACCTCTGCATGATTTCACTAAATTTTCCATATCTTGATCCATTTTTGGCCAATAAGTATAACATCTCATTAAGGATTTCATTCTAGAAATTCTTGGATGCCCTATGTGAGATTCATTTTTGCAACAATACTGGTATCACAATTCTTTATGTGTACATTATTACATAATGAAAATGCATTATTTCCAATATTTTTTCCTTTAAATCTTAATTGCTTTTTCATTTTCATTATAAAGTTGTCTTTTTCCTACTTAACTCTTATTTCTTCCAATGCTATGGGCAGTTCTCTTACGGTATTGTATAATACATTATTAATTTCATTTTTTGCCCATATTGTCGCAATTACTGTGTCTTTAAGTAGTTCACAGAATCTTGGTATTAGTCTAGACAATCCGTCTGCATGACTTGATTTTTTGGATGGTAGAAATTCAATTTTATAATTATAGTTCAATAGGATAGTTTCCCAGCACAGAAGTCTATTCGCTGTATGTGTGAGGACACCCTTTTTGATCCATATATGGACAATAATGGATGATGGTCTGTCTGTAGTATGAGTTCTCTTCCGTGTATAAATTTATGAAACTTTTTCATAACAAATATGATGGCCAATGCTTCCTTTTCTATCTGGCTGTAGCTTTTTTCAGCTGCAATCAATGATCTTGAAGCATGAGCTATTGGTTTAGTTGTTCCATCTTCATATTTGTGTAGTATCACTGCTCCAATACCTAAATCACTTGCATCTGATGCAACCACAATCTTTAATTTAGGGTCAAAATGAGCTAGTGACAAATCCGATGTTAAGACTTTCTTGATCTCTTTGAAAGCACTTTGACATATTTATTGAGATATTTATGTTGGTCACACCACAAACTTGCTTTCACAGTGCTTGACTCTACATTTAAATGATAACTCTAACATTTTTAGACATTTAAAACAACATGCCTGCCCATGTACTCAATTCCCTAAAATCCTTGTTGACAACACAACTATACTTAAACATGAAAACAATAAACAAAAATTAAAAATTCTTGAAGCTTTATACATAAAACAGTTGAAACCTAACCTGAACAAAATAAACTATGAAATCTCCACAAATATCCTTAAATGCCTATAATTTATAACAGAAGCCATTGGTTTATACCAACAGCTTCCTATACTTAATAATTTTCGCTTCCGTGTTTCGTATATACGAGTTTGTCGTTACTTGGAAATTTTCATGCAGCAAGGGTGAACTATCATTGTTGTTTCGTCCGTATGTTATTTGATTTATTGAAATTGTCATCTTTGATAATGGCTTGTGTAAGCCGAAAGCTTAGATTGTATTTAAACATGTATCAATTGGTGTTTTCCTTTCGTCTTTCAACGATAATGTGATTAAGCTTATCAGACAATATGAAAGGAACTAAATAGACAAGTTTTGTCTATATTATTTAATGAAACATGCATTAATGAAAATTGCTGCCTAAATGTACACAATATATATATATATATATATATATATATATATATATGACAGTAATTAGCAAACCCTAAAAATGCTTGTAACTTTGTTACATTTGTTGGAGAAAGCATGTCTTCTTTTTTTTTTTTTTTTATTGCACTCGTCCTTAAAAAGATCCGGTTGTCTACTGTTTTCATTAATAATTTGTCCTAGATATTTAAGTCTGGACATCTACAATTCAAATTTTCCTTCAATGATCTTAAAACCATATTCTTTAATTCTCTCAAGTACTTTTTTACATCTTCTGTATGTTGCTTTCAGGTCTTACTTTTAACAAGTACATCATCCAAATACATTTGAGCACAATCCAAACTGGCAAGCATGGTACCCATTATCTGTTGGAATATGCTATGAGTGTTAATTGTTAATAATTTTGAGCACTCTTCATCTATTAGTACTTGTAGATAAGCATCTGACAGGTCCAGTTTAAAAAAAAAAATTACCTCCATTTAATTTGGCAAAAATTTCCTCTGGACTTGGTAGTTATGTTGTTTTAAACTTTCATTTAACCCTGCTGAAAAATCAGCACATATATTTTTTTTTTATTTTTTTTTTTTTTTTTTTTTTTAAATGTAGACTGTTGTTTATGCCCATTTGGAATAGTCTAATTTTGATATCACACCTAATTTTTCTAGTCTGTTCAATTCATTATTAATTGAGTCTAAGGCCGTAAAAGGTGCACTTATTTTTGGCTTAAATGTAGGTGTTACATTCTCTTTTAACAAAAACTTTGCTTTTGCTTTTGTGCATATCACTTGGCCTTCTGAGAAAACCTCTGGAAAACTCTTTTTTAGTTCATTTTTCAATTTTTCAGTTGCCATATTAATACCAGGGGTAACAATATTTATCTTGTTGCAAAAAAGTTAATTGGAAGGTCCCAAAGATCAAACAATGCAATCCAATCTGTTCCAAACAAATTAGCAGTATTCTTTAATACAAACACCACAGCTTTTTTTTTTGCCCCCCCCCCCAAAAAAAAAGTTCAGTCTCTTTCCTGAGACTCCATGCACAACTTTATTAGAAGTCAATAAACTGGGTTTACCCATTTTTCTCTATGTCTGTTCATTTATGATAGCGATATCAGATCCTGTATCTAGTTGCAGGATGAAATTACTAGCCCCATTCCCACCTGTTTTTGTAACTGGTTTTCACATAGATGTTCCTAAGTGGCATCCCCCTCCATTTAAGTACTGAGTGTGCTTGACATTCCTTAACTTCAGTGATCAAATAAGAACAGGTGTTTCAGTCATGATTTGAATTATATACTATCAATGTTAATATGTAGTACATCTTCAAAATCATCTGCTCCAAGACAACTATTGCTTTCCCTGCTTTCATCTCCATCTAAAAACTGTCTTGGATTGCTAGCCAATTTACTACTAAAATAAGAAAACTCAGAATACTGAAGTTTCTCAGGAGTATATGGGGTCACTGGGATTGTAATTCTTTTCTTGTTGATTTTTAAGTTCACACTGTTTATATTTACAAATGTTCCATCACTAATATTAAACACCCTTCTCTACTAAAACAAATTTTAAGCAATTATATATAATTACTTCTTGTAACTTAATGAAAAGAAGCACATATGCCCTGAAGAAGTTTTCCCCAGGATAAAAAAGGAAAACAAGTTTGATTCCTTCAAGGAGATAATTTCACTGTATAGCCCCCACTCCCCCCCCAAAAACAGGGATATCTACTATCTACTCAGACATGTACCCACCAAATAAAATTTAATTTATATATATATATATATATCACTTAACGCCACGCTCAACATGCGAAGACCCAGAATAAACGCTCCTGCTATTATTCAAAGTAATACAAAAATAAAATTAATCTGAAACAATTAAAACATGAAGAGAAATGAAGAACACTTAAAACAAAACCCTCTTGAAAATGGCTAAAGAACTGGCTGAAAGAGCTTTGGATAATGGACAATTTTTGCACTTCCTTACTTCTACCAAATAGAAAAATGTAAGAACACGAGAAAAAACTAAAAAAAATTAATTAAATATTGCTTGTCTGTCATATTTAAAGAGAGATCTTTAAAAAAAAAAAAAAAAAAGAAAAAAAAAAAGAAAAAAAGAAAGAAGGGTGCTGCCCAAATATACATTAATATTTACATGCGTGTGTAAGTTACCGAGTATCAATGATCAATGATACCTACTGGTTTGTAAATTCTCTTGGATGAGTTGTTTTGACTGCCTAACAACAGCTAAATCATTGTCATCAAGAAGGTTGAAGAGCTGTTTGACATCGACTTGTTGCACAGTGCCAGGGAGGGCATTGCTGCCTTCTCCAATCACTTTACTGTCTGACATCTCGAAGAGTGAGAGATGATAACAAGACCAACTTCAAAGCACATACAGAAGCTGAAAAATTAAGGTTCAGCAATTATAAAAAAAACACAAACCATTAAAATAAACAAACGCATCAATTAATTTACTTAGATCAATGGATAAGCAAGGGTTGCAACAGATAGTGACTTGGAATAAGAAATGTGCCAAGTTTAAAATTCAAGTCAAATTTGTATAAACCACTTACATACAAATACCCTAGGAGAGAAGTATGAACCCACTTCTTTATCCAGCTATGGGTTAAATAGTAAGTTAGATGCAATATTAACTTGGAAAAAAAAAAAAAAAAAAAAAAAGAAAAAACATTCTTACACCCTGAAATATGTTTTGATTTTAAATGACCCACACAGGCTTGAATCAGCAATCCTTACATCAACATGATATTATGACACTATGTGACACTGGTAGAATTGAAGGGGTTAATGTAAAAATGTGAGCTAGGAATATGAGGAGAGGAAGAGAGAATATTGAGAGACCGGCATGCAGTAAGAAACTGCTAAGGTATATTCTAGGTTATTTGCTAATCATGGGAATTAAAAACAGAATTGAGAAAAATTGAGTTATGGCTGTCAACAAAAATAGAAGTTATGATTGGCAAGCCAAAGGGCCATCTGAAATATAATTGTGGAAATATAAACAACACTGGAGACAAGACTTAATCTGTCACCCGAAAAGGAAATTGAAACGAGGAACAAACCTGTAAGGTTTGTCTGCATGATAACCTGAGGGTTGTAGGAGCAGGGTGGCTGGTAGTGGTGCACTAGAGCAAACCAGACCAAAGACTAAGAAATAATATGCTATAGAAAATTAATGATTAAAATGAGACTGCCCTTCATCCACTCAGTTTAAAAATCAGAATTGTCAAAAAGAAAGTCAAAACTTCCACATGGTGATGGTCTCAGATGGAATACCAAGAGAGGAAGAGAAAGGAGGAAAATTTTACCTCTACCCATTTGGAAGTAACAGTGTGAGGCATAAATAAGAGAAAGCATGAGTTATAAAGGTGGGACACTACTTGCAACTAAATCTGAAAGTTGAGGAATTACTGAATCCCCAGGTCTGGCTACATCTTCTGGTATAGGCAGCGTGTAGCAGCAGCAATGATGGCTGGCAGCTGCAACCCAGGATTGACCGGGGTGTGTATGTTATAATCTTCAGATATTACTTTGGTATAAATACAAACTAAATACCATCTCCATGTGAGATTTGCAAAGAAAATTGTTTCAAATTTAAGGACAGTTAGGCAAAATTGCATGAAGATTACAACATAAACAAGATTAATTTAATTTTATTTTTTATGGCTTAATGTTTTGTGGATTATTTAAAGTTATAAAATATTTTAGATTGTAAGAATAATCCTTATTTTGTATAGTGAATATAGTATACAAGTCCTACTATTTAACTCATAGGTAGGTGGGAGCAAATGGATTCATAGCTTTCTCCAAGGGTATTTGCAGTAAGTAAATGTTATGTACTTGACATGGGTCTGAACTCTACTCTCCAAATATCATACACAGATTATGCAAGTAGTGGCAAAGTTCCAAGTTGGATAAAATAAAGCTTCACTTTCTCACAAAAATGATATTTTTAAGATTGTTTACAAATTTCAGTTTTATTAGCAGTTATAGTCTTTTCTGAAAAGGCAATTTAGAAACATTTAGAAATACTTAAATTTTTTAGAAAGAGCATGAAATTAATGTATTGAACAATTCAAAATGCAAATATATTCATCAGTATAGGAGAATACGAGATATAAATCTCTATATAGCAGAACAAATGTAAAGCAAATGAATGATAAAGTAGAAAAAAATTCTGAATAACATGTTTTGTCCTCTCGGACTTAATCAGACTAAAGTAATATTTATTGGAAACACTAAAGATATTGGAATGTTGAATTTTTAAAAGATGTTTCTGGGTTTGTAGTCTAGCAAATTTCATTCAGTTTCCTTATGCTTTCATTTTTAGTACTTTTTTTATTAAGTATCCCACATTGTGTTAATAGAAGATCTGCCAAAAAAGGTGAAATATTGTAAGAGACATTGGATGTAAATTTACCATGGATGATCTAGTGATCAAAACACTTTCTATATATTTTATCAGTATAAAATATAACAATAGTCATGGTAATAAAATTTTTTTAAAAAACACTGTGTAGAATGGGACTATTAATACAGTATGCCTGTTGCAGACACATGCTCGGGCATATTTGTATCTGTTGAACACCCACAAAGTCAACTTGTCATTTATACTGCAACAATGCTACAGTTTAGTTACAATTTCTGGGAAGGAGCACATAATCTGACATGATCAGCAGTTTGAACAAGGCCAGTGTGCTAAAACACTCAGTCAGGATGACTTGTGTGACTTTGTGTTAGCCCAACCATCACTGGCTTCTGAACAGTTCTATCAACACAATTTCACTAACAAGGCTTGGGTGTATCTGTAGTATGGTACTTCCAAAAGAAATGGCATACCAAGATTAGTCTCACCAGGCTGATATTATCAAGAAGTCATTTCCTCTGATAAATTGACAATGCCGAGATTGAAATCTTTGGGAAATACAAATTTACTTTTGAATTTGGAAAATAACCCCAAAAACCCACACCCAAAACTGATTACAATGCATATTTAAAAGAAAAATATTCTACAACATAAAATGTCCTAAGAATAGGAAATAATATTTATTTTTTCTCACTACCATCAAAAAAGCATTTGAATTCAGCTATGTTGCTTACTCACCCACAATTCCACAAGGGGTGGTCACCCAGACAGGATGATCAACAACATACACGAAGACTAATAAAAATGTTCACCATGATGTGGATGCTGGTCTGACATTGTTCTTCACCTACAAACAAAAAACAAGAGCAACTGTATTAACCAGGTACAAATTTACTACACATCAAGAATTTAGTTTATGCTTAACAATTATAGGAGGCACAGTGGAGTAATGGATAGCGGCTCAGATTGAGGAATCAGAGAATTGAGTTTGAATTCTAGTCAAATCTATTACATTCACTTATGTGCTAATACCTTTGGGAAAGGTATGAATCCTCTTCTTTCCCCCTCCCCAGCTATGGGTAAACAGCAGGACAGATCAGGTTCTATAGCCTTGGATGGCAACTGGTCTGCCGCAGAAAGAAATGGCAACCTAGTGCAGGAAAAAAATCTGCCTCGTCAGTCATATATCGAAAGATGCATGATCACCTAAGTATGTATCACATATGGCACATAACTGACCGACTAACAATTATACGTAGAGAAATTCCAACCCACCACAGTTCTCTTTTTTTTTCTTTTTTTGGTAGAGGAATGGAGCATAAATGATCTGATCCCTATCATTATTTTAATAAAAAAAATTGTCATTATGTTTAAAATAAAGAAATACAAAGCTTGACAAGAAGCACAAAAATGGAACAAATTAAAAATGGAATTTGCCTACATTAAATGCTACATTTACTTTTCCATAGTAAAACTACTCCCATCATATCTACCAAAAAACAAAAAAAAAAAACAGAATTCAAGAAAAAAAACAAAACAAAAACATACAACTAACTAAACTTTCAATCCTTTTTTGAGTAATGATCCTTTTAAACAAGAGGTACTTGACTCCCAAGGGAGGATCTATAAATTGGCAAAGGTAAATGAAATACCATTAATACAAGTAAAAACGACCATGAAATTACTGATGCTTCACACTTTGACATACAGTTTTTCGGGGGGGGGAAGGGGGAAAGAAAACATTCAAAAGTTTGAAAAATATGGATCATAGAGAAATTCATTTTTTAAGCTTATAAATTAAAACAAATTAATTATCTACCACTCTAAAAAATATAATCATGAAAATATTAATTATTCGTTCACAATTCAAAATGGGGTAGGAATTGAGTAAACTTGGGATCGCGAGGGGAGGAACGTAACCTGGGACTGATAACACTAACAGTACAGCTACTGACTTTTAGAGAGTGATCACATATTTTTTTTTTTTTTTACATTTGTTTTGAAGAATCGGAAAGGAAAAAAAATACCAATTTCTCTCCAAACAAAATTTGATACTATTCATCATTTGTCTTGTAGGCTGTACATAAAAGCGAGAAGGCCTCGTGGCTCTGAAATAGCATTTCCCACCGGTGCTAAAAAAAAAAAAAAAAAAAAACCGGTGTTCGAGCACAAGTCAATAAAGACTTTCAAAAGCTGGTTTTTGGGGGAGGGTGGTGTGTTTCTCCCCCTTAGTTGGCCTTGTGCCGTACTAAGCTTAAGTATTAAATTCGTGAACTTCTCTTCCGTTGCCAATGAATTGCACGTATAAAAAATATTGCGTAAAATAAGAAAATCTCAAGGGGGAAAGTAGTTACGTCATTTTTTATGCCACATCGCAGAAACAAAGTTTTTATTGCTATAAAAAGAAATAATTAATCATAAAAACTTTTTGTTATTATTTTATTTTCTTATAAAATCTTTCTTAAAGATTAATCGAAAATACGACTGTCGTTGTTAATAAAGGAAAGGTTATCGTTGGAAATGTATTAATTTAAATTTGGTTCAATTCAAATCAAACTCAAACCTAACTTTTTTTTTTTTTTGTTTGAGAAGACTATTGAAACAAAAAATTGTTTGTTCCCAGACTATCAGCCAACAGAAAAAAAAAAAAATTTTCTCCTAAAAGTCGCACCATTTAAGACTAGTTTTTGGGTTTTTTTTTATTTACTTTATCCCGTTTGCTTGGTTCAAAGTGATTATTGTATATTTCACTGTCGCTTGTTTTTTTTAAAAAAAAAATAAAAAATAATGATTTGGTGTTGAATAGGAACTTTCCGCAACTTTAAGAAAAATTAAAATAAGAAAAATACTGGCAATTAAACAATATCAATTTTATTTAGATTATTTTGAATATAAATCATTGAATTTGGGGTTAATTAAAAAAAATATTTCTTTACTGTACATTACAATGTACATCTATTCTAGCTCTAAAGCAAAAAAAAACAAAAAGCATACAATAGGTTAAAAATTTGAAAAGGGAGCCTGTCAATAATAAATTTAGTTTGTTTTTTCTTTTAAATGATTTTTTGTAGATTATTTTACATTCATAGAAACACTAAAAAAGCAACATGTTAATTTGCTTACAAGACAAGAAGTTTGAAGAAATAGTCATAAAGTAAAAAACATCCAAATATTTTTTTAAGTCAATGGGCATAATAATAATAAATATCGCCTGATCAGATTTTAAAAGTCATTATTATTATTATTAACTTAACAGATGCTATGTTGTCATCATCATCATAGGAAAATTTATGTAGTGTTTAACAAGGAAAGTGTGTAGATTTATTTTTACGAAATAAGAGAATCATTTCTCAGTTTTGTTTTTGTATAGTAACGAAAATAAAAAACACTCCAACACAGTAACGGTCTTTTTTAGTTTATATTCAGAATCTAGTAGAAATTTATAAATATTACGATTTCGGTGACAATATGTTAAAAAAGGATGGTACTTGACTTGATGATGATAAAATCGAGTAGAATCACGATGTATTAATTAAAATAAGACTCAAAATTAACCGCTGGTCTTATTTGATTTTTAAATAAATGAATAAATAAAATAGGGATAAAAAAAAAGGTACATACAGTATTCAGATAGGCTCTTCTGGGGGGAAAAAGTCTTAAGAAAAAGAAAACTGAAAGAGAATATCCCGCTATTAAAATATACAATTGGATCTGTTTAAAGGTGAGTTGGGTAAAAAGATGTAATCAATCCTTCCATTTAAATGGCCACTGTCATCAATGATGCAAACCAGTTTTGTTTGCAGGAAAATAATTTAAATTCTTTGTTATTTCTTGGTAGAAAAGACAAAATTTTTAAACATACACTGCCTTGTTTTTTCATATGCAATGTTGCATAAAAATGTCACAAACGTCCTTTATCTGTGCAACACTGTTTTTATTGTCAGCTGCTGGGTTGGATTAGGGGTGTGTGCGTGTGTAGAAAAAAAATATGGTTCAAAAGTCGGGGATCGTTTTATGTAATAAAAAAATTGTAAAATGAGCACCCAGTTTGTGTCCGCCTTAAACACATAACGAGTACTGTGTGTATATACAACAGCTGAATGTCTATCTTAGTAGAAAGAAGACTCTTTGGATGTATATTTGCTTATTTTTTAAATCCAATTTTTTAAACAAGACAAGGTTGATTCATACTCCAAAGTGAAAGTTTATGTCGGAAAAATGTCAACCAAATAGTTTTTGTAAATTACACTTGACATTTTCAGGACGAATAGTTATTTTTAAATAGCAATTTAGCAAAAAAAAAAAAAAAAAAAAAGCACAATTATTTATTTATTTTTTTTTTTTTAACACACCAGCAAATAGGAGTCACATTTTTTTTGTGCTTTCAAAAAATGAAAAAAAAAAATATCCCGGAAAAAAATCTGTAATCAAGGATTATTCAGGAAAAAGGGAAAAGTAACATTTTTTTGTGTTTGTTCCTCAATAAAATGTTTTTATTTTATTTTTATTAACTTTTCCGACAATTGAAGCTCTTCGCTTTCGCTATTTTTCAATTTAAATAAAAAAAAAAAAAAGTCCATGTGTGGGATTTTCAATTTGTTTTTTCTTCCTGTTTTCATTTAATTTTCAGAACTCACCTTTGCACGACTGCAGGAAGAGGCGATGACAGCAGTTGCAGAAGAAGGACAAGAAGAAGTATTAATAATAAGAAGAGAAGACGATGGCGCCGTGTAGGAAAACATATTCTGGCATGGCGCAGCCAACCAGGGTCACGTGACCCATGCCATCCGTTGTTGCCTCGCCTCACAAGTCCTGGGGACCCCCAACTCCAAAACAAACCCGAAATTAACAACCCTTCTTCTTATCCTCGAAATACTTAACTCTACCTAACCTCAACGAATTGAGCATTTTTAATTTAATTACCAAAACCGGGGTGAAGTGGGACATAAGGACAGGAGTAAGTTCGCTTTTCTTTAATTATACATACAATAATCAAAGTCGTGTAGCAGTAGTACTAGTAGTTTAATGTTGATTTTTGTGACTTAGTTAAAAGTAGGTAGCAAGTGGTTGTGTGTGACACGAAATCAACAAACGTTTATTGACAAAAGTATGAAAACAGAATTATTACATAGTTAACCTGATTATTTTAATTTCACCATGTATGTGTGTATCAGTAGTTAAAGAAATTCCTGACATAATTAATTATATAGCGATTTATTTACCCTAGGAGCACTAAAGTTATGTAAACGATTATAAAACAATTGGAAAGTAACTTTTGTTTCGTTTGTGTGTGTGACTGTAAGTGTTGTAAATTTGTCTATTAGTTTTTAGTTAGTAGTATTAAATAAGTAAATATAAGGAAGGAATCCTGAAATTAAAAAAAAATGTGGCTCCTTAAAAAAAATTACTGTTACCTGCAATAATTGGAACCTTGGTCACGATAAAAAACAATAAAATCCCTGTCAGCCTTTACAAGAGATTCCCAAAATCTGTGTGAAATTGCTCCTGTATTCAGGAGGTTATTATCAAGGCAAAGAAAATATAAACACTTTTTTTAGTGTACATGTTCAGTATCACTTAACATCAGAATTTGTGTACTGTAATTGCATATCTTGCCTTACCCCAGGTCTCGGGTAATGGCCCAGTAAAGGATTGTTGTGATGGCAATGATGATGATGAAGAAGAAGTTTTTGGTTTCTAGCCAAAGCAATACTAATAAATTAAATATCTGTATGGCTTTTACAAGTACACAAACATACTGTCAAAAACAAAAAAAAGCTAATCTCTCCATTACAATTTGATTTAGTGAGTGTCCTCAAGTTTTTTGTTGTTAGTTACAAAATGTTTCAGCCATTGTACCCTTCAGCCTTCATAAGTGGTGTCTGTTGTAGTTGGCAACCTTTGGGGAGTTTTGAATCAAACTGTTTATTCCTGGATAAAAGTATTACTTAAGTGCATCTCTTTATCTAGTGATTGTGAGTTCAATCTTTGGGTCAAGCATTAAAAGTCCTGGTTCAATGGATGAAGCGAAAGCAGCATCACAAGGAAGGATAAACTTATCTCAAATGATATCTTCTAGCATAAACATCAGAATGAGAATAAGCCACAATTTACCCTGAAAATTGAATAAAGGGCTTGGTTCAAAATTACTAAAGGTTGCTGAAGTTACCTCAGATCAAATTAGGACATATGTGACAACAAGTTTAGGTTTGTTATACCATGATTGACAGAACTCCAATTCTCTAACTCAAATAGAAGTGATTACTTCAACATCCACAGCTCATAGGACAAAAACAGATCTTAATTTCATCCAGCTCAGTGCATCCACTTCTGGAATACTCTCCAAAATTACCAGGGTCATAAAAAATCTTTTTTGACCAATCAGAAAAAAACTACATAATTTTCACAGCAATTGTTTCCGAGCCACTGATACACTATAAAACTGACACTGAATTCACTCACAAAAGCAGTTCTGATATGGCTGACATTAACGACAAACTCCCACAGCAGGCAGCTCAACCAAGCACTGGAGACTACACAACTACCAAGGCTATCAGCAGCAACACCAAGGTGTTTCCATCAATATTGATGTCTTCGGCCAATGACAAAATCAGCAACAGTAGAGATTAACTGTTGACTACTACAATATGATATTTTGTGGAATATTTTTCCCAGGTGTTTATCTCACTTAACTACATATGTGTGTTGATTTTCTCCATATGTCTATCTCAACTGCTTCCTTGTGTTATACCCTGAACCAACTCTCAGTCTACCACGTCTGATATACTATATTCCAGAATGAGCAAATGATTGAACCTTGGAAATAAAACCTTTTTTAATTATCTCAACAATGTCTTATTTTCATTTGTTGATTTGTCACTTCCACTATTTTTCTGGTTAATGGTAAGGCAGCCATAACAGATTGTACTGGTCACAAGCTGAAAAAATTGCTGAATATGTCCACAAGTTTTGAATGACATAAATATAGATTGTTAGAAGTATTATGTAGTTGTATCTGAGAGGGAGGTACAAGCCAATGTAGATTTTTCAGTCATTTTATTAATTTGAGTGCAGTACTAAACTGGTGTTGAAGTCACATCAATTTACAGTCGAGTTGGTAAGATGTAACATAAGTGCAATGCTAACAGTTTCTTTTTCACACTTCTTGCTTGTGGAACTTTCTCCCGGCTCAATGCTTTCCAGTCTTCAAAAATTTAAAAGCAATGTCAATTATTATCTACTGTCTTCCAGATTACTCTTCTATTGTTTTTGATCATTAGTAATGTTTCTGTTTTCTAGTTCTTTCACACCCAGTAACCCCTTATGTCTTAGTGGCTTTACTACCTTGCTTGGGGGGGGGAATTTGATTAAAACAAATATTAGAGGTTTCTGTTTGCATGTTTGAGGGTAGCTTCTCTGTGCCTTTTCTATAAATACTTTCATGGTAAGTGTTCCAATGAACTTACCTCTATGGTACATAGACTTTATTAATTTAAGTCTAGTACTAGACTGGTAGTAAGGTCTCATCAATTTACAGCTGAAATCGCTAAATGTAGCATAAGTTCAATGTTAACAGTTTCTTTTTCTCTTCCAGCTTCATGCTTTCCAGTCAACTTTAATCTTTAAAAATTTAAAAGCAATGTCAATCACTATTTATGCTTGGGGTGAACTCGATTAAGATAATAAAAACAAAAACATAAAAAGCTGGTTCATATTTTACAATAAATTATGTATGTAACTGTTTAACAAATTCTTTATATTCTCCAAATCTTTCCTTCAGCCATTTTGTAGCTTCTCACAAATCCAGATCTATTCAAACTAATTTCTGTATAAATTTCTGGGATGAGAAGTTACCATTATTTACTTTACACTATTTACATACAGACTATTGCCCTCATCTTTGTTATTGTTATTACAATGATTTAGCTGTTGTGCACTCCTGCCTTCATCTGGTGTATGTTGATTCAGGTAACTAACAGGGAATACTGAACCGAACACTTTATTTAATCTACAGGGTGGGACTGTTCTTGTTCCACTGCTCAAGTCTAGGGGAAATAACTCATCTAGTTCTTATTTTTTTTTAATACTGCTCCATTATTGCTCGTCCTGTTTCCATTGAGTCCAAATACACACAACCGAGCTCAATGATTGAACTCACAATAACTGTCATCAAATTCATGAACCAACACTTTAACCTATAAGGTTATTGTCCCATGTAACAACTCTTTGTGGGCTCCAAGTTCTCCACAAAGAGTTGTCACATGAGACAGTAGCCTACTGGACAATAGTGGGCAGTACTAAAAATAAGAACTAGATGCGATATTTCTAGACATGGGCAATGGAATGAGAACAGTCTACCCATGTAGATTAAATAAAGGGTCCAATTCAGAATTCCCTATAAGTTACCTGGATCAATATACTCCTGATGAAGGCTAGATGGTGCAATGGCTGTAATGTGATAACAAAAACAAAGTTGAGGACAATAGTTTGCATGCAAATAGTTAAAATAATTATTCAAACTCGTATCTAAAAACTATTCCAGTTTCATAGAACTAAAACCTGGTACCTGGGGATCTGTACCATCACAAGCAGTACCTCCTTTTTACAACAAGTACCTGCTTTTTACATCATTTTTCATGCAACTTTCAGTTAAATGTAAGCATGTCACATTAAAAAAAAACAATAAACTAAAAATATAAACTATGTTACATTTGTCCTTGTTGGGGGTGACGCAAAGTTATATGATCATTCATATAAGATTCATGCCATTTTTATATAACTGTTCTTGAGAGTGAAGAGTATTTCTAGGATTGAGACAACTTTGTTCTTATTAATGGAGACTATTGTGATAAATAAATTCACTATGCATAGCTTTTGGAAAAAGTATGATAATGCCATTTATTTTTTTAATCATTTCAGATGAAATATTTCTTAGGATATTCATGTTAGGATTTGAATAATTGTTTCATCGTCCCCACATATTAGACAGAAGTGAAAGAAAAGCTGTGGCAGCAAACATCAAGTTGCAGCTACCTTCAGCTGCAGTAAATGTTTCAAGGATTCTTATTAAAAACTCACCTAGTTCAGCTACTGCCAATGTTGTATACCAAACTGAGCCTTTAATCTTTAACACACTGGCAGTAATTTTGTTCACCAAAAGTTTTGTTCTTCTACTGCAAGCAACTCTGATCCCCAAACAACAGTATTAATGAAAATTCATTTTTGTGTTGTCATATCCTGCTATGGCAACAGTAAAAACAATCCTAACTGAGAACAAGACTACTGCATTTGTCAGGCAAGGTCTTGAGGAAGTCATACTTGTAAATAATACAGGTTAAAGGTTAAGTGAATTCATTGTGTAACTTTTTAGATGGAGTTAAAGAAGAATAATTGTTGTATATTACTACCTTACATTTCTATTAATTTTTATTAATTAAAGGAAATGTTATTTACTATTTCTTAAATTATTTTATTTTTATGTAAATTTCTTTTATATGTTTATTTTATTTGAGTTTTTATTTTATTTTATAGTATTTAATTATATTATTATTTCTATTCTATTTAAAATATTTTATGAAATATGTATTTACAAAATTGATACCATACATAATTACAGTGCTACATTCAGTTTCTTATTGGAAAAATTA